GGGTGTGTGTGGGGGTGGCAGGAAGAACAGCAGGAAATAAGGGGCATCAGAGGGCCAAGAACACATTTTTCCCCACTGACTCTGAGAGAGTGGAAGGGAGGAGGGACAGGGAAGGAGGGAGAGAAGCATCGATGTGAGAGAGAAACATGGGGTGGTTGCCCCTCCGCTCCCCAGGCTGAGATGGGACCTGCCACCCAGGTACGTGCTCTTGACCGGGAATCCGACCCGAGACCCTTCCATGTGCGGCCTGACACTAACCACTGAGCAACCAGCCGCCCAATGGTCTCTGGCAGCATTTTTCTGGCCTCCGATCCCCTGATGAGGGCCAGAGGCCCCTCGGAGCCCCAGCACCAAGGTCAGACCCCCAGATGCGCGGCTCGCCTTCAGTCCCTCCTCTGGGGGGCATGTCTGGGGCTTGCTCCTGGCTCTGGCCATCTGTCCCTCCCTCCCTGTCAGGATCAGGTGGGCAGCTGTGGCAGGGGGTGTGAGGGCCCCTTGGGGGCTGGGCCGCCGAGACCCTCAGACGCCACTGGAGGGAGGGGCCGGGGATTGTGTTTCCTTCTCCTAGGGTCACAGGGTGGGTCAGGCTCGGGGTCAGTGGGAGGTGGGAGCTGGATGTGGCCTCCTGGATGTGGCCTCCCTGGGCTCCTGTTCGTGTGCCATGGAGGTTTGGCCGCTGCCTGCGGGCAGCCTACCCCTGTCCAGGCTCCCAGGGCCAGTGCTGCAGCTCCTGGCTTCTCCCCAGCCTCGACTTCACCCAGCACCACGGCCCACTGAGCCCTGCCTGGTGGCCGCTGCTGGAAAATGCAGGGACCCAGGGCCAGAGCCACGGGCGCCACCTGTGCACGTGGGTACAGGCGTCCGGGGGCTGCTCCCTGACCTACTGAGTTGCTAGACCAGAAGCTCCCTCTTGCTGACCTCCTTCCCCCGGCAGGGCCTCCCCGGGTTTTAGCTCTGGCACCCCCCCAGCTACAGAGCCCTCTCCCAGGGGGATGGTTTCCACCTCCAGGCTCAAGTGAAGACTCCCCTGCAGAGACCCTTGACCTCGCCACCGCCTGGGGCCCCTCGTCCACTCAGAGGTGGCCCAGCTGCAGCTCCTAGTGTGTCCAGGACAGAACCCTTTTCACCCTCACCCGTAGCTCCTGCCAAGGCTGGGTCTTCCAGAGCCGCTTGGGCGGGCGGGCAGATCCCGTCTCCCCTTGAGCCTCTGTTCTCTGCAGGACCCACTAGTCAGTTGGGGCTGGCAGACCGCTGGGTGCCTGCAGCTGCCCACACTGCTGACCCGGGCAATTGCTGCTGGCTTCCTGAGTGGGGTCCCCCGGCCCAGGTCTGAGGGTCCCCAGGTGCTCTGCCCTGCCTCACGGGGGGCTCCTGATCTTTCCTGAGGCACTTGTTTCCCGTGGGGTCCAGGGGACAGCCAGTGAGGGGGGCTATGAGGCATCTACGAGAACACAGCCTGGGCCCCGCTCACCGTGCCCTGGGCGGAGCGGGCAGCTCCAGCCACAGCCACAGGCTGCCTGCGGAGGCCACGCTACAGGTGTCACAGTTCCCTGCTGTTTGGGAGCAGAGGTCTGAGGCTGGCCAGGAGGCAGACCCTTCTGCGTAAGGGTGCGAGGGCCTGAGCAAGGGTGGGGGAGAGGCAGGAGCCTGCAGCACCCACACAGGGCATGGGGTCAGAAAGGGCTAGGAAGGAGGAGGGCACTGGGGACAAGTGGGGAGGTGGGGTGGAGAAGGGAGAGAGGAGTTGGTGGGGACAATGGAGAGAGGGTGGGGATGTGATAAGCACTTTTTTTTTTAAACATTTTTTTTCTTCTTTATTGATTTTAGAGAGAGAGGGAGATGGAAACATTGATGAGAGAGAACATCGATTGGCTGCCTCCTGCGTGCCCACCCGGGGATTGGGTCCACAAGCTGGGCATGTATCCTGACCAGGAATCAAACCGGCAACTTTCAGGTGCATGGGTCGATGTTCAACCATGGAGCCACACCGGCTGGGCATGATGAGCACTTTCTATGGGAGCAGAACTGAGGGTGTGAGCCCAGAATGGCCCCAAAGAAAGGGGGGTTGGTGGCCACAGGGGACAGGTGATGGGTGAAGCTGTCTATTCCAGCTCCCAAGGCTCTGGAAGGTCCTCCGTGCAGGGGCGAAGAGGTGACCCCCAGGGGAGACTCAGGAGTGGAGGGCCTCAGGGTCTCTGACCAGAGACACACGGGGTTTGGACTGAGCCCTCGCAAAGCCCAGGTCTCCTCCGAGGCCAGGCCTGGGGAATGGATAGACACGCAGCCGTGGTGTCAGGACACACAGGGAGGTCTTTTACCTGCTCCCTGGACTCTCGTGGGAGATTGTCAGTCAACCCAGAGCAGGCTGATTGGGGGAAACATAACCTGAGTCCCTCATGGCCCTGGAACCACAGTGCAGGCACGAAAGAGCGTGTGAGACGTAACTGCAGGCACGAAAGAGCGTGTGAGACGGAACTCCAGCTCCGTTTTCACTGGGCTCCCTGCTGTGTGGCGCTTCTGAACATGGGTTGTCTGTGGTTCCCTCCCGAGGCCCTGAGGGGCCGGGCGTCTGGCCGGCTTTAGGCCTGTCTAGGGACAGCTGCCAGGTGCTTCCTGGGGCCCTGGACAGCGGACATCATCAGCCTCATCACGTGGATAGAGTGCCCCGTGGCTGGGGCCCAGAGAGGGCACTGGCCACTCCCGATATTCAGAGATACCCCCTCTGACGCTGGCAACACTTACTTGTCCTCACCTCTGTAACTTTGTCAGTTCAAGAACGGCAGAGAAATGGGACCTTTTCTCACTCGGTGCATTCCTTGCAGATTCACCCCAGTCGTGTTTGGAGGTTCCCGTTTCCTAGCTCTGGGACCCTGGCCAAGGCGCTGTCTCTCCTCCATTCATAGGAAAACGAAGGGGCTGTGAGCAGGGGTGAGCACCCTGCTGGCACCTCAGCCTGGTCCTGACGGCGGGGCTCCCTCTCCACCTCCCTGAATGATGCCTGTTTCTTGCTGCCCCAAGCCCAACCCCCCCACCTCCTGAGGGCCTGCTCTCTCCTGGGCCCCATGCTGGGGGCACACAGGTCTGGATGGCATGATCCCCATGGTGCGCACCCTGGCAGGTGGGAGTGGTAGACTTTTGGGGGCTACCTTGGGCGGGGCACTGCAGCCAGCTCATTATCAAGAGGAATCATGGGGCGGTGGAAGATGCTAGGGTGCAGGGAGGATGTGGGCCCAGGACCCTGGCTGGGAGAACCCACCAGATGGGAGCTGAGAAGCAGAGGCCTGAGGGGCAGACTCCACCCTGGACCACGTGTGGCCTGGCCACGGTTTCCAGGATCACAGATGCAGAGGTGTCTGGGCCACTCCGGGAAGAAGCCGCTGATCTTTAGCTCCGCTGAAGCCTGGCATACCTCAACCGCAGCGTGGATGTGCGTGGTCAGCCAGGGTTTCCCGTTTTGAAACTTCTTGTTTCAGGTTGAATGTGAGTTTCCCATTTTCATAGGTCAGACTTGGTTGCACATGGGGTTCAGCTGCATGCAGGCTAGAGCCCAGGTCCCCTGAGGACACGTGCCTGGACTTGGAGATATTCCTCCAGGGGGCCGTGGGCACTGCTGCCGTGCTCTCTGTGGGGTCCACACTGTGGAGAAACCAGCAAGCTGTGGCCAGACCGGTGGTGTGGGGCAGGCTTCGGGTCCAGCCCTGGCTGGAGTCCAGGCTGTGCCACTGGCGACGTGGGCCTCAGCAAGTGCTCCGACCTCTTCAAGCACCTGACCCTTGTCTGAAAGATGGGGGTGCTCACACCGACTGCTCTGTGATCAGGGGGTTCAGACGGGGCATCTCAAGCAACAGTGGCTGGCAGGAATTGGGTCCTGATGCTGTCAGCATCCCCCTGGGGGCAGGCCCTGTTGTGCTCATCCTGGTGTCCCCAAACCTGGACCCTCTCCTGGATCATTCCCATGAACAAGGTGTACACAGGAGCTGTGAGTCTTGGCTCGAGGCAGCCAATCAGAACACTCATACTCACCTTGTAATCAGGACCCTGTGCAACCCTGGACCTCTGAGGTTCAGCCTCTAACTTCTGAAGGCAGAATCACTTTAAGGTCACTAACCTCACGACCCCCTTGTCTGGCCCAAGACCCTGAGTTCCACATATTCTTCCACCTTTGACAAAAATACCCCAAACCTGCTGCTACGGACTAATTGCATCCCCCAAATTCATGTTGAGCCCTAATCCTGGTGTGACAGTATTAAGAGGTCGTGCCCCCGGGGAGGTGATTTGGGTGAGATGAGGTCATGAGGGTGCCCCCACTGACGGGACTAGGAGAGGACACACGAAGGGGGCATCTGCACACCAGGAAGACGCCTCACCAGAACCTGACCCTGCCAGCACACCCACAGACCTCTGGCCTCCAGAAACGTACAAAATAACCGTCCCTCTGCTATCTAAGCCGCTGGTCTGTGGGGTCTGTGATGGCGGCAGAGCTGATGGAGACCCCTGAGAATGTAAAAGAATGGCAATGAGGTGCTCTGTACTCCTACTCATGTGGTCCCAGTACAGACCAGAGACCGCGGAAGCACAGCGTGGTCGCCCAGAGGAAGTGCAATTTGCACGCGTGGTGGACTGGGGAGGGCTCTCGGATGTCCAGCAGCCGCTCGACTTCACCTCTACAGTGACCAGAACACCCGCTTTTCACAGTCAGTGGGGGAGAGAGGAAAGCCCAGCTTCGGGAGGACGGCAGGGTGTATGAGCTGACCACCCGGTGCGCATCATCGCATTCTCCGAGAGGTCGCGCCGGCCGGCCTGTTTCCTTAAGACGGAATTTGGGAAACCTCGTCAACATTCCGAGGGTTCCGATTCCTGGAACTGGGGATAACAGGCGCATGAGTGAGAAGCACTCGCCCCTGTGCGGCCACAAGGAGGCCTTAAAAGGAAAATCTTTTCAGAAAGAGACAATAGGACTGACTTATGTGTAAACTAAAAAGAGAAATGGACAGTTTTTAAATTCTTCCGTGTTTAAACACCCATGCAGTAACGGGTCTACAGTTCACGCTGTAAAAACAGATTAATCCACGAGTCCCAAGTTCTGATAGAAAAACCTTCTCAAATGACTTAAAATAATACCGAGACCCACACACTCCCAACTGAAGCTCTTATCTACACAAATTTACAATATTTATAAATTGCAGACAGACGCTGAATAGCACGTACCACAAATTCACTCTACGGAGACACAGAGACCAAAACTAATGGATGTAAAACGAACTTTGATCTCGGAGTTACGCACAAATGACGCCAACAGAAGCCACGAAGGAGGTAACCTGACCGCACAAAACAGCAGCAGTTCTCATAAAGGCCACTGGCTTGCCCCTGGTCAGGGCCTGCGCTCAGTTTGCAGTGGTCACAGCTCTCGGTGCAGGTGACTTCTAAGTGGATGGTCAAAACGGTGGATGCAGGACACGATGTAGTCCCCACCCAGAACAAGTCAGATCTGTGTTTGGGGTCAGGTTCTGCAAGTTCAGGTCAGCTCCAGCCTTCAGCTCTTTGTCCCTGACTTGAGACAGACAGCAGGAGGACCAGCAGGGGGTGGGGGTGCTGCTGCAAGCCCCTAAGACTGGGGAGGTTCTTTCTGACTCACACCCAAATCTGGGCATCTTCCCAGCCCAGGTGGATGCCGGCTGAAATCCAGGGGTAGGACCCTTCTACCTGGACATGATGCATTGCCCTGGCACGCCCCAGGGTCTCCTGGACACAGAACAAGATGCTCTTGCGCTATACTGTAGATACGGCCACCGATGTGCGCACCCCTGGGTGCAGACTGGAGCTGGGGCCTGGTTGTCCGCCGCTGCATGGCATTAGCACTAAAGCCCCACCGATCACTGGAAAAACCAGGTCCCCCTCGAGTGCTGGACTCGTCGCAGACAACCAGCCAGTCTGTTCGCTCCCAGTGTAAGACCGGTGTGTGTGTGTGAGGGGTTCCCAAAGGGCTCCTGGGGTGTCTGTGCTGGCGCCCCCACCACAGTGGCCGCAGCGCTCAGGGGATGCCCTCCTTCCTCTGGCAGCACTGGGAGGGCGGCGCAGACCAGTCGTAGACGTAGGAGAGGCGCAGCTGCACCTCCTGTTTGCACAGGCGGCCCTCGCGCGTCAGCGTCTGGTGCTTCTCCAGCATGTCCTCCAGGCTCTGCTTGTGGGTCACCAGGTACTGGTTGCTGCAGCCGCGGGACTTGTACTCGGTGTCGAAGCGCGGGTCGTGCTCGCGCTGCACGTCCACGGGCGCCAGCCAGGCGCCCATCGACACGTCCTCGCTCTGCCAGGCGCGCAGGTACTCGCGGCTGAGGCGCAGGTAGCGCACCAGGTCGGCGGAGAGCACGTAGCCGCCCCCCAGCGCGTAGGGCAGGTAGTAGTCGCAGAGCTGCCAGGCGGCCTCGCGCCAGCGGCCCCCGGGCTTGACGCGGCCGCGGCCCGAGAAGAAGCCCCAGTAGAGGCGGCGGCGGCGCGCGGGGTCGCGGGCGCGCAGGTCGGCCAGCAGCGCGTCCAGCCGCGCGAACGAGTCGTCGTCCGCCTTGAGCACGAACTCGAAGGCCACGTGCTCGTCGAGCCAGGCCAGCATGGCCAGCACCTTGGCGGTGAGGTTCTCGTAGGCGTCGCGCAGCGCGGGCAGCAGCAGCAGGTCCCCGTGCCGCGCCTGCTCGCGCTCCAGGGCGCGCCGCTCCTCGGCCCCCAGGCCGCCCGTGCCCACCGCGAAGCGCGCCCACACGTCCCCCGGGCCGCCCCGCCGCGCCGCCGCCAGCCACGTGCCGCGGACCACGCTGCGCCGCTCGGCCGCCCGCGGCGCGCTGGCCACCAGCACGGCCAGGAAGGCGGCGGCGCGCGCGGGGGCGGCGCGCGGGGGCCCGGGGCCGCGGCCGGGCGGCGCGCGGGGGGCGTCGGCCGTACAGCGCGCCAGGTAGAGCAGCGCGGCGCCGCACAGCGCCAGGCCGCTCAGGCCCAGCGTCGTCCGGTGCCGCCACGCGCGCCGCGGCAGCTTCATGGCGCGCCGGCCGGCCTGCGAGCGCGCACAGGCCCCGGGGTCCACGGGCCGCGAGGCGGCGGGCCCAGCCGGCCGCCCGTCACGTGGCCGCGCGCGTCCGGTGCAGTGGTCACCCCGGGAGGGCCGCGCGGCCGCTTCCGCCCGGAGGCAAGATGGCGGCGCCGGCGTCGCCGCGCGGAGGTCGCGCCCGCCCCCACGGCCCGGAGGCCCGCCTCTTCCCGGAAGAAAGATGGCCGCCGCCTAGCCGAGTCCTCAGGAGGCGTCACGGCCGCAGCAGCGCTCGGCGGATCCTGGCGGTGAGTGCGGGCCCGGGCGGGGCGCGGGCAGGTGCGCGGAGGCCGGCGGAGCTGCGGGGCGGCCCGGTCCGCGGAGGGCGGGGGCGCGGGCCTGGGGACGCGGTCGGCGCGCGGTGACCTCGCCGTCCTCGCCTGCGAAACGGGGGCCGCGCCGCCCCGGGTGGGACCCGGTGCGGACCTGACGTCCCGCTGCGCAGCCCGGCAGCTGCAGGGCGGCCCGGGGCCGGAGCAGCTCGAGGACTGAGCGCTTGTCTGTCGGCGACGAGGAACGCGTGTCCGCGGGACGGGCGCTCCGGGGCGGCCGCGGGGTGCCGGCCGGACGTGCGAGGGCCCGAGCGGGGCTGGGCGCCCGGGGAGCCCGCCGACCTGGCGCAGGGGCCGTGGCAGCGGCGCTCGTCAGCGCCCGGAGAGCGGGGACGACCTGGCGCCGAGGAGCGAAGTGCGCGCTTTCGGACTCGGCGCGTCTGCGGGGCGGCTGCTGGGTGTCCGGCCTCCTGGGCCCGGAGAGCGGGGCGCGCACCCCGGCGGGAGGGGGCGCCCGCGGGGGCCGCCGGAAGGAGGCTGCGTGGCCCCCAGCCGCAGCCCCTGGCACCGCCTGGGGCCTGCGCCCTGCGTGCCCTGCACCGTTCGCCCCTGCGAGCCGCCTCCCCGCTGCGGGTCCTCCCTCTGGGTGTAGCTGGGAGTCACCTGTGCACCTGCGCGGGGCGCTGGTGTCGCAGCAGAGGCGCCCGCACCCCTCGGCTGTGCTGCGTGCTCGCGGTGCGGATCGCTTGCTGTGTGGCTGGCGGGACAGGTGCTGGGACCCCGACGCTCAGGACGACAGGGCCCCGGTGAACGGCTCGGGTCAGTCACAGCGCAGAGCACAGCGGGGCAGCTGCTGGGCCTCGCGGGTGTGCGGAGCGCACAGCCCCCGTTGACCTGGAAAGAGAGACGCCAGGCTGTCCCCTGAGTTACTCCTTCAGAGGAAAGGAACCCGAGGGCACTCGGGGCCAGAGGCAGTGCAAAGGCATCGGTCTGTCGAGGGTGTCAGGAGCAGGTGGGGCAGAAAGGAGGCAGCGAGAAGCTGGTGGTGGCATCTGCCAGGCCAGCTGGGGGAGCTGCTACCCATCCTGTCCCTGTGCGTCCTCAAGCTGTGGGTGGGGGCCAGGCACAGTGGCCCCTGACACCCCCCCCCCCCCATGCTCCAGCTTGGCTGCAGGTAGCATCCAGGCCTGAGGAGAATGTGCCCAGGGCCACCGTCCCTGGCTCCAGGTGCCAGTGGGCTTCCCTCTGCTGCTCCTCCCTATAAAAACTGCCGGAGGAGGTGGGGCGGGGGGAGGGGGGAAGGGGGGTGCTCAGCTACGCCTGGGAGGACCAGCAGGTGTTTGCCAGGTGGACAGGTTACAAGAGGAACAGGTTAGGGACAGGAAGAAGCTGGAGTTCTCTTTGGAATAGTTGAAGCATAAAGGTCCAATTGGGGAGCTGGGGAGGCAGCTGGGCCCACAACTGGGCCCGGTTTCTGGCTCGGAGGTTCCTGGAGAAGTAACTCAGGGTGTGAGGGAAAGCTGGTGAGCTCCGGGGGCAGGGACAGGTGGGGGCAAAGGCTGTGGCTGTGGGGTCCTTCACATGGCAATGTGGACAGAGGGTGGCCTCGTTCCTTTGCCACCAGGCCCAGGTACCCCCAGGTGACAGACTTCCTGGGCGCTCCTGCATGAACATGAGAAAGGGCATGTGTGCATGCGTGCGTGTACATGTAGTTATTCACACACAGGTGTGTATACATGCATGTGCATATGTGTGCATGTGCTTGCGTGTGTATGTATGACTGTGTGCGCACCTGTAATTGTGTTCACATATGTGCACTCACTGTACTTGTGTGTGTATACATGCCTGTGCGCGCATGTGTGTGAGCAAGCACATGCAGGGGTCGTTGAGATGGGACAGTAGGAAGGGGCTGGTGCCCTGCTGGGTGGTTTGGGTGTTTACTGGCACCAAGCCCAGTCCTCACAAAGCTTGGGGTGAGGGAGGGGCTTCCTGTCTCATGGAGTAAACTGAGGCCAAGGAGGTCATGTGGTTTAGCCAAGGTCACAAAGCTCACAGTGCTGAGTCGGGATCTCGAGCGTGAGTTACCATGACTCAGGCAATCCTCAGTGCTGGGGCTGCTGGGATGCTGAGAAGGGTGCTTCACCCAGCAGGAGAGTCGGGAGCTGGAAGAAGAAACGACACCCCGCCTCGTGTGGGTCCTAGAAGCTGTCTTCTCAGTCAGGTCTTTTCTGGGCCCTGTGTCCTCTGTGGGCAGCTGCCTGCTTGTCGGGGTCTGACGGCTGTAGCCTCACCAGCTCGCCTGCCTCTCCTCTCCCCAGCGCCTGGCCACTTGCAGGCTGTCCTGAGGTCCGGACCCAAGGGGCCATGGCTTCCAGGCAGGCTCCCTGCTGCCTCTGGCTCCTGAGCATCGTCCTTCTGATGGACGCGTCCGCACGGCCTGCCAACCACTCATCTGCACGGGACAAAGCAGGCCACAGGGAGGACAATGAGATCCTGCCTCCAGACCACCTGAATGGGGTGAAGCTGGAGATGGACGGGCACCTCAACAAGGACTTCCACCAGGAGGTCTTCCTGGGGAAGGACACGGACGGGTTCGAGGAGGATGCAGAGCCTCGGAAGAGCAGGAGGAAGCTGATGGTCATTTTCTCCAAGTAGGTGCCCGGGCTGGGGGCTGGGTGCTGTGTGCATAGTGGCCAGCACCGGGGGCCCTGTTGGTCCAGGCCTGGCTGTGCAGTGTGGGAAGTGACGTGGCGTGTGCCTTGTCGGCAGGTGCAGGAGCTGAGCTCGGGACGTGCAGCCCTGAGTGGCAGCTGGGTGCAGAGGGGCTCAGGGCTCGAGCAGGGCTGCCCCCATCCCAGGGCCATGCAGGCGGGAGGAATTGGGACGGCCTGGAGCAGGCCCACCTCGTGCGCCGTGGTGAGAGGCAGTTGGTCACGGCGTGGTCACAGCGGGTGGCAGTACCAGTTAGCCGAGGCCTGGCAGTGACCATGAGGTGTGGGGAGGCTTCAGCTCACACCATGAGTACAGAGCTGACTGGCGAGTGGGTGTGTGAGCTGGCGGTGGGCACATGTGTCTGGAAGTTCCTGTGACATGAGGTGAGAGGGTCGGGTGATGGGGGAGTTGTGGGGGGTGGGCTGGGGCATGTGGGGACTTGGGGCCACTCCCCCCTTTGCAGGGTGGTGATGGGGAAGGTGTGAGGCGTGGCCTGGGGAGACCAGGGCCAGGCAGAGGACCGAGCTGGAGGCCCAGGACCGTGGTTGGCATTTCCAGGCTGCGGTGCAGTGAGACGGCCAAGTCGGGTTGTCAGCATCCGATCGGTTTGTCCACGTGCCCTGTGCCAGGTCACAGTGCACAAGAGCTCTGCGCTGGGGCAGGGCGTGGTCCATAGGTCTGGGCGCCCCACCCTACCCAGCCTGGTGGGTTGCAAGCTCTTAGGTTGTGAGTGGTGCGGTGCCCTGAGGGTCACTTGCTGGGACCTGGAACTCAGGGCTCAGCTCCAAGAGGGAGAATGAGGGGTTCAGCTGACTGAACACACACAGGTCACGTGGGCTGAGGTTGCGTGGCCTGGGCTTTGGACTGCCTGCAGGAGGGCGGGGCTTCATGGCCCTGGCAGCTCAGGGCAAGGACCTTGACAGCTGGCCCGGCCTCCTCCTCTGTGGATTGGGTCACTGAGCACCCTGCTTCTCGGGTGGGGAGACCTGGCGTGCACCACCCTGTCCACACGCAGGGGCCCAGGAGCAGGGCAGACAAGGGTGGAGAGCTGATGGGGGGCCCAGAGGGGTGAGACACAGGAGAGGCTGGGCTGGGCCTTCTGATGACGGGTGGGCAGGTTTCACCTATTTCAAGGAGAATCCAGGTGGGGCCCGAGCAGCTGCCGTTGGGCTGGACTGGCTGCCTGTGAGGGACTTGCAGGCAGAGGGAGCTGGGACAGCAGGAGCCCGGTCACCACGGCTGTGCCCTGGGTGAGATGTTGGAGAGAGGGCCACAGCCAGACCCGGGCTTTCGAGGTTCAGCACTTGGGAGAAGGGAGGGCCCAGAAAGGAGCTGCCAGGAGCCAGGGCCCAGGGCTGGGGGCCTGGAGCCAGGGACAGCAGTCAGCCCGTCAGGCCCTTCAGGACGGCTTCTCGTGGAATGTGAGGACCGCCGGCTTGTGGCAGGTGCACCGCACTAAGCCTCGTCCAGGGCGCACACCTCTGAGCGGAGGTGGAGCTTGCTGTCTTAGGTGAGCAGAGGAGAGAAGCCAAGACCCGAGCCAGCAGGGGGCAGGTTGCTGCCTTGTGATCAGGAGAAGCTCGGCCCACAGAGGGGGTGGGGTCCGCACGGCACGCCTGCCCCTTCTTCCTCTTCCTCTTCGCAGTGTCCCTGACCGGCCTCCCTAGGGAGCAGGTTGGCAGGAGAGGCAGAGTTCGGGCTGCACGCACCAGGCCCTGGGGGGCCCTGTGGGTTGGTGAATGGGCCGCCAGCTGGGGTGGGAGCTGGGGCAGAAAGTCGGGCCAGTGGGCTGGCCAAGGCTGACATGGCTGCTCTTGAACCCTGCCGCGTACTTGGCCCCGGGCTCCACAGCTGAGGCCCGGGCTGCTCTCACAGGACATCTCATCTGACGCTGAGTGGCCAGCTGACCTCGCCGTCGCTGGGCTCTCCGGGGCCCTCTGAGAGCCCCTTCTTGGGTGGCCTGCAGAGGTGTCCCGCACCACTCGGGCTGGGCTGCTTGGACCTGCCTTAGCCTCTTGGGGAGGGAGGGTGGCTGCTCAGCTGGGCCCCCGGGTGCCTGATTATCTTAGCTCTTTGAGACACGTGAAGAAAAACCTTCCCCCTAAAGAGAAGCTTATTTAGCTACAAACAGCAGGCTCCTCCTGGCCGCCCTCTGCCCCTCGAAGCCAGGCCAGTGGGCACGTGTGCTGGGCTCGGAGGGTCCCGTGCTGCACACAGGGAGGCCCAGGCAGGGCCGACTGGACCGCACTGGGAGGGTGTGGGGTCCGAAGGCCCCTCAGCACCAGGAGCAGGTGCATGACGAGCAAGGGTCTGAAGGAGGCAGAGGCCCACAACAGCCTCACCTGGGAATGGAGTGAACCTTCCAGAGGGGCCTCCTGCTCAGTGATCAGGGTCAGCTCTTTGCCTGGTTGGAACGGGGGAGGCGTTGTGACTCAGATATTGGGTGGATGGGACCAGCACTGCAGCGAGCCAGACGTGGGGCACTCGGATCCCCCACTGGGTCGAGCCTCACCTGGATTCACACCTGGCAGGACCCCGGGGACAGGTGTGCAGAGGTTCAGGCCGCACCAGCCCTGGCCCTGCAGGACGCCGGCACCTGCTGGGCTCGGAGTTCCAGCTGGGGCACTTGTAGCCAGATTGGGGTGAGGTGGGGGTGGGTTTTGTTTTTGTTTTTGTTTTTAAACAAAAAAATGTCACCTGAGGAGGACATTTTTGCATTTATCTTCAGATAGAACAGGCGGGAGAGAGACACATCGGCTGGCTGCCACCCACACGACCCCAACTGGGGCCGGGGACAGACTGCAACCGAGGTACGTGCCCTTAGCGGGAACTGAACCCGGGACTCACTGGACTGTGGGCCGACGTTCTAACCGCTGAGCCAAACCGGCCAGGGCAGGGGTTGGGGTTTTGATGCCCAGATTACATCGCAGGAAATGTCACCCTGGATCCCCTGGATTAGGGGGGGTCACTGGTGTCTTCTCTGTAGTTGCTCCTGTCCTGTCCCTCCTGCTCCTCCCATCACTGAGGCAGCCTCCCTGCGGTGGGGGGTCCACCACCCCGTGTGGAGTTCTGGGCAGCGGCTTCTCTCCCCCCTGACGCTGTCCCTGTGGACTCGAGGGTGTTCGAGTGGCTGTTCGCTGTGCCCTGGCCTCGGCTCCTGTGTCCCCGGGACACACCAGCACCCGTGGTTTCCCAGGCTTCTTACTCTCTGCCGTCACCCGAGGCTCCTGTGTCCCCGGGACACACCAGCACCCGTGGTTTCCAGGCTCCTTACTCTCTGCCGTCACCCGAGGCTCCGGGTTCACCTCTTGCCCCTGCCTCAGCCCCCGGAGCAGCCGTGTCCCCAGGGAGTCTGGTCTCTTCTGCAGGAGACTGGTGTTTAGAGACCCAGCCCGGTCCCCGGCCCTAGTGTGGGGTGCCGTCGGCATCGCTGCCTGTGGGAACACGTGTACACACTAATGTGTGTGTGTGTGTACGCACGCCCGCCGCGTACACGTGTGCCCCAGCTGGTGCGCCCACACCTGTTCCCCACCTTGCTCCGGCGTCCCAACTCTCACCTGTTCCCAGGGACTCGCCGGGCATCCACATGTCTGGGGCTGTGGAACAGGGTGGGTGCTCTGGCAGCCAGACAGGGAGAGGCCACTCCCCGCAGCCCCAGAGCTGAGGCCGCCCACCGCGGGTCCTGCCCACCCCATGTCCCCGCTGGCGCAGAGTGGCGGTCTCGTGGCTGCCGGGGGAGCCCCGGCCAGCCTGCGTCCTGCCCTCCCGGCCTGCGGGCCAGGCCTGTCTGACCCGAGCCGCCCACGCGCAGGGTGGACGTGAACGCCGACGGGAGGATCAGCGCCAAGGAGATGCAGCGCTGGATCGCAGAGAAGACGGCCGAGCACTTCCAGGAGGCCGTGGGCGAGAGCCGGGCACACTTCCGCGCAGTGGACCCCGACGGCGATGGTGCTGCCTCACTCTGACCCCCACCCGAGGGTCCTGGGGCTGGGGCGAGGACGGGAGAGCCCACGGGCCCTATGTGTTCTGCCCACCAGGCCACTCCCAGCCTTGCCGGCCAGGGTGGGCTGGGTCCAGGTCGAGCGGCTGTCTGCCTGCATCTGCTTCCGCAGCTGCTGTGGTGTGATGTTTAAAAGATACGTGCTTTGCCCTGGCCAGTTTGGCTCAGCGGTTAGAGCGTCCGCCTGCGGTCCGGAGAGACCCGGGTTCGGTTCCCACTAAGGGCACATACCTCTGTTGCAGTTTGTCCCCGGCCCTGGTTGGTCGTGCGGGTGGCGACCACTCGATGTGTCCCTTTCACATCGATGATTTCCTCTCTCTCTCTTCCTCTCTCTCCCTCCCACTCTGTCTGTACAAAAAATGGAAAAATGTCCTCGGGTGAGGATTAAAAAAAAAAAAAGTGCTTTTATTGGTTTTAGAGAGACAAGGGGGAGAGAGGAACATGTGAGAGGGAACATCCATCAGTGACCTCCTTATGCACCCAGACCGGGCATCAAACACAACCTGGGCATGTGCCCCAACTGCGAATCGAACTGGTGACCTCTTGGTGCAGGGTCTACACTCAACCACTGAGCCACACTGGCCAGGGCTGCATGAAGATATTTTTAATTTTTTTTTTCATCCTCACCCAAGGATATTTTTCCATTGATTTTTAGATAGAGTGGAAGGGAGGGAGGGAGGGAGAGAGACATCGATGTGAGAGAGACACATTGGTTGGTTGCCTCCCACATGACCCAACCAGGGCCAGGGATCAAACCTGCAACCCAGGTACGTGCCCTTGACCGGGAATCGAACCTGTGACCCTCGGTGTGAGGGCCAATGCTCTAACTGCTGAGCAACACCAGTGAGGGCCCCGTGGGGATTTTTAACCTCTTAAAATAATTAGACGTCCTTTACTAAGAACGTTCGTCGTTAGCCACCCTAACAGGACGGTCTCCTCTTTCAGGCCACGTGTCGTGGGACGAGTACAAGGTGAAGTTCTTGGTGAGCAAAGGCCACAACGAGAGGGAAGTTGCTGAGAAGATCAAGAATAACCAGGAGCTGAAAGTCGACGAGGAGAGTGAGTGCGAGGCCCCAGGGCCGCAGGTGTCGTGTGGGGTCGGAGCCCAGCAGGTTGGCGGGGCACCTGCGTGGGCCCCGAGGCAGGAGGGAGCTGGGGGACAGCCCCACACCTTCCGTGTCCGGAGCTGTGCCTGTGCGTTGCGTTGGTGCGGATCTGACGCACGAGGGGCTCGGCAGGTTCCACCGCGTCACCAAGAAGACTCGCCGTCGCTGGTCACTGCCTCCAGCTCGCCACCCACCCCTCCCTGGGATGTTTGCAGCCCAGTGCTGGTGGGCCCGTGGAGGGCGTTACGAGTGCGCCACGTGGTGCCGTCAGTCCTGTTGTCTTCAGCGGTGGGTCGTCCCCCTGCCGTGGGCTGCGGACGTTGTCTTCTCTGAGGGACGTGTGAGCAGGAACGTTCCAGGGGCTCTTCTGCCGGGACGTGGTCTCTGTGTACTGTGTCCACTGGCTGTTGGGTGGAGTTTGTCACAGCCTCGGTGGCGTCCTTGTTTTCCGTCCGTCCTCCACCTTGAGACGGTGCTGTGCCGCTGTGTTCCCCGCGCGTCTTCATGGGGGCCTGTCTGCCTTCAGTGTGTCTCCTGCCTCCTTGGTCTTTAATCCCGAATCCCGCGTGTTCCTCGCCAGTGCACAGGAAAGGGGCCAACCTGTGTGTCAGCCTCTGTGGCGGAGACGGCCGCTGGCCCAGGAGTGTGGCCGTGACCGTGGCCATGAGGGTCCGCGAGCAGCGGTCCTCCCTCCCTGTCCCTTTCCTGTGTTGCCTCGTTGTGTGAGCTGGGCTCCCCGGACGATGCTGAGAAGGTGCAAGAGGGGCGTCTGGTCCTGCTCCCGGCCCTGGCAGGAGAGTTTCGGGTCCCGCCGAGCTGTAGGTTTTGCAGCTGCTGGTTATCCAGTCGAGGAAGTTTCCCCTCTTTTCCCCGTCTGCTGAGAGCTTTGATCTCGAGCGCAGTTGGGTTTTGCCAGGTGGTTCATGTGCATCTGGTGGTGCGACCATGGGCGTCTCTTCTTCAGTTCATTGATGTGGCGGCTGGATTTCCGACGCGGACCAGCCTCGCACACCCAGGATCAGTCCCGCCTGGTCGTGGGGGGCGACTTTCCGTGCCCTTGGGTTTAACGTGCTGACACTTTGTTGAGAGTTTTTGCATCTGCATTCGTGAGCGACGCTGGTCTGCAGTTTTTTTTCTTGTAACACATTAGTCTGGTTTGGGGGTTAGGGTGACGCCGGCCTCGAAGACTTGGAAGGTGTGCCCTCCGTCCCCCGCAGGGGCTCCGGCAGGATCGCAGCTTTTCCGCTTGGCGGATGCACCGTGAGTCCTTTGCTCAGTCTTTCTAAAGTGCTTGTTTTTCCTGGACCAGAGTGTAGTTTTGTTCGTGAGCCAGTATGAATATTTTGGGAATAGGTGGATTGAGCCCATTCACAGTCTTTGTTTCTGTTTCCCTCCATCCACTCCTCTCCTCTGCTGTGGGAGGACGTGGAGACCGACTCCCCCCTCCGGTCGTGGGGGCTGCCTGCTCAGCAGTGTCCACCTCACACCTTCGTTGTTTCTGCCCAGTCTGTCGAGCTCAGAGTCCCCAGCGGCTCCCCGTCCATGGGACCCTGGCCGCCCAGTTCTCGCCACGTCACCCAGGTCCTAGCCCATCCTCTTGAAGCCCGTGCGCCAGGCTCTTGTGACCTCTGTAGATGCTCGCGGCCTCTTCCTGTGCTGGTCTCCATGGTGTCCCCGCCCCTTCCTGCGGGCCAGGGTCTTTCCAAGGGCACCTGGGCCAAGGGGCTTCTGTCCCCCTCCTGCCAGAGGTGGCGGCTTGGCACTGGCTTCTGAGCGCATTGGGAAGTCCCACTGCCGGTGGCCTGCCCCTGCCTCTTCAGGGGCTGGTGTGCCTGGGGTGGGGCGGGTCCTCCTCTTGGGCTGGGTGGGGGGTGAGTGTGGAATCCACACTGTCCCTCGCTTTCTTTGCTCTCCTCTGTGTTTCCCTTTCCGGCTGGGGGAGCAGATGGAGGGCAGGGGGCCTGGGTTCCTGGGGCTGCCGTCACAATACACCTGACAGGTTGGGGTGCCTCTCAGTCGGGGCTCTTCCCGTGGGTGCTCGGAGCAGGGTCTGTCCCAGGCATCCCTGCAGCTTCTGGCGGGCGGGCGTTCCTGCCTGTGGCTGCGTCACTCAGCCTCTGTGTCTTCTCACCTGCGGGCACATGCCACTGGTGCAGGGTCCTCCCTCGGTCCCGGTGGTCTTCTCTCAGATCCTTAACTCGGTGCAGCTGCAGAGACCATTTTCCAGCTCAGGTCGGCTCACAGGCTCCAGGTGGACAAGCAAGTGTGCCCGTCTCCATCACTCATCCCGCGGTGGAGCAGGCGGGAAACCACCAGCCACCTCCCGTCTGCCCTTTGACAGTTGGCTAGCACGGGCTCCTGCCCATCAGGAGGCAGCAGCTGCCAGGTGACGGGCCTGTGGGTCACCCCACTGTGACTGGGCAAGGCCGTGGCATCCCTGCTCCCTGCTGGAGAGCAGAGACCCCTGTGCCCGCTCTCCCTGCTGTCGGAGCCCCATGGCCTCTCCCCGTGTGCCCTCGGAAGAGCTCTTCCCTCGCCCTGTACGGCATTCCCACCGGGAGAGCGGGGCAGGCTGGGCCGGGGCGGGGTTTGCCCCCCAGCCCTGCTCCCCGCACCCGCACCCGCTCTGTCCCTGAGCAGGTGCATTTCCCTGACCCAACAGCAAGCTGGGGGGCTGCACCTGTGTGTGGGGGTCTGAGTCTGAGACTTGCTGGGGGCTTAGTCTGGGGGCACGTCTGTGTTGGGGAGTTTGTGTATGGGGTGATTCTTCTCCGTCCACACCTCGGGGCTGACCTCTTCTCTGAGGGGGGACGTGTGGCCTCGCCTGGCTGCTGAGCCGCCTCGGTGTTCAGGCCGTGCGCTGGGACTTCCTGGATGCTGCTGGCGTTGCGGGTGCGGGGCGCTCACAGGTGTTATGGGCGCCGGGGGTGCTCACGGGCGTTCCGGGTGCGGGGCGCTCACGGGTGTTATGGGCGCCGGGGGTGCTCACGGGCGTTCCGGGTGCGGGGTGCTCACGGGTGTTATGGGCGCCGGGGGTGCTCACGGGCGTTCCGGGTGCGGGGTGCTCACGGGTGTTATGGGCGCCGGGGGTGCTCACGGGCGTTCCGGGTGCGGGGTGCTCATGGGTGTTATGGGCGCCGGGGGTGCTCACGGGCGTTCCGGGCGGCGGGGGTGCTCACGGGCGTTCCGGGTGCGGGGTGCTCACGGGCGTTCCCGGGCGCTGGGGGTGCTCACGGGCGTTCCGGGTGCCGGGGGTGCTCACAGGTGTGCCTCTCTCAGCACAGGAAGTCCTGGAGAACCTCAAAGACCGCTGGTACCAGGCAGACAACCCCCCTTCGGACCTGCTGCTGACCGAGGATGAGTTCCTGTCCTTCCTGCACCCGGAGCACAGCCGTGGCATGCTCAAGTTCATGGTCAAGGAGATCGTCCGGGACCTGGGTGAGGCTTATCCCTTGGCCCTGCTGAGGGTGTCAGCCCCTCACTGCTGATGCCCAGGCCTGGGCGGTAGGGCTTGCTGTCCGAGCCCAGCGGATACCCCTAGCAGGAGGCCAGGGTGGCAGGTCCTCAGCTGGCGTGTCCTTGGGCCAGGCTTCAAAGGAACACCCAGCCCTACAGGCGCCATGGGGCCTTAGCCAGGTTCCCAGCGGGTGCAGCTGTTTAGCTTCAGTCTACAAGGTCACAAGTGGGGCCCTGGCTGGCTTGGCTCAGTGGTTAGAGCGTCGGCCTGCGGTCTGGAGAGACCTGGGTTCGTTTCCCGCTACGGGCATGTACCTCGGTTGCAGTTTGTCCCCGGCCCTGGTTGGGTTGTGTGGGTGGCAGCCACTCAATGTGTCCCTTTCACGTTAATGTTTCTCTCTCTCTCTCTCTCTTCCTCCCACTGTATCTGAACAAAATATTGAAAAATGTCCTCGGGTGAGAATAAAAAAAAAAATCAATAAATAAAAGATCACAAGTGGGAATTCTGATGGCAGAACCGCCTGGCTGACTCTTCTCCCCAGTGGCCCTGGGGCCGAGGTCTGAGCGCCCTGTTGCCCACAGATCAGGACGGCGACAAGCAGCTCTCGCTGCCCGAGTTCATCTCTCTGCCCGTGGGCACCGTGGAGGACGAGCGGGGCCAGGGCGTCGACGACAGCTGGGTGAGGGACCGGAGGAAGGAGTTTGAGGAACTGATCGACGCCAACCACGACGGCATCGTGACCATGGCAGAGCTGGAGGTGGGCACGGCATCCAGGGGCTGTGGGGTGCCCCGTGGGGGTGCCCGTGGCACCGGGAAGGAAGAGTTGGTCTGGTTTCCTGTGGTTGGTCACTTGATCGCTTAGTGGGACCTGGGGCTGAGCCTGTGTGACCGCCGGCACCTGACCACTGTGGGCTCCAAGGAGGCCCAGCCAGCCAGGGTCGCTGGCTTTGTGCCCAGCAAGGTGGCCGGGCCTGTCCCTGGATGGGGGTGCCTGGGGCAAGGCGGCCAGTCCCGTCTCTGAGGAGCCATGTCCGTGGGGTCTGGGCCGGCCCCCGCAGGGACGAGGATGTGGGCTGGGACCTTCCTGTGCGCCGTTCTCACCTTGCTGTGTAGGTGCCACGGGCTTGTTTTTCCCGCCCTGATGAGTCATTTCATTTTACACAAGAATTCTCTGATCCCTGCTGATAGCTGGGGGACAGCTCTGGGCCGGGCTTCCTGTCCGCACTGCAGTCCTGGTGGCCGGTTTAGTCCATGTCCATGTGACCTGCTGGCCTCTGGCTTCATGCCGGGCAGGGCCTCCTCCTCCCCACCCTTCCCCCAGGTCTGAGGAGGCAGCGCCCACACAGCCCTGAGCCTGTGTCAGCCTGGTGTCCATCTTCCCGCCACCCCCGCCATCCCCGTGCACCCCCGCCACCCCCACCACCCCTGTGCACCCCCACCCCCCCCTCGCCCCCCCCGCCATCCCCACCCACCCCCGCCATCCCCGTGCACCCCCGCCACCCCCACCACCCCCGTGCACCCCCACCATCCCCGCCATCCCCGTGCACCCCCGCCACCCCCACCACCCCCGTGCACCCCCACCATCCCCGCCATCCCCGTGCACCCCCGCCATCCCCGCCATCCCCGTGCACCCCCGCCACCCCCACCACCCCCGTGCACCCCCACCATCCCCGCCATCCCCGTGCACCCCCGCCACCCCCACCACCCTCGTGTACCCCCACCACCCCTGTGCACCCCCGCCCCCCCGCCATCCCCACCCACCCCCGCCATCCCCGTGCACCCCCACCACCCCCGTGCACCCCCACCATCCCCGCCATCCCCGTGCACCCCCGCCACCCCCACCACCCCCGTGCACCCCCACCATCCCCGTGCACCCCCACCACCCCTGCGCATTCCCGTGTCCCCATCTTGCAGCCTCAGGGGGCGGCGCTGTGGTGGTGAAGCCAGCTGCTTCCCTGGGCCCCTGGTGCTGCCCTGTGTGGGCCTCAGGACGCGTGGCCAGGTGGGCTGACAGGTGGTGCCCTCGCAGGAGTACATGGACCCCATGAACGAGTACAATGCCCTCAACGAGGCCAAGCAGATGATCGCCGTGGCCGACGAGAACCAGAACCAGCACCTGGAGCCCGAGGAGGTGCTCAAGTACAGCGAGTTTTTCACGGGCAGCAAGCTCATGGACTACGCCCGCAACGTGCACGAGGAGTTCTGAGCCGGCCTGTGCCGCAGGCTGCTGCTGGCGTCCGTGCTGCTGGCGCCTCGCGGTTCTGAGAACTCGGCGGCCGCGGGGTACCAATCACCTCGAGCCCCGGGCTCGCCGCTGTGGGAAACAGCTCTGGTTTCCTCGAAGCTGAACAGCTGGGGCCGCGGGCCTGGCGGGCGGGTGGGCGGCTGTCTGACCCGCTGAGGCTGCTCAGCCTCTGGGAGGCCCGGACGGTGGCAGAGTCTCGCTGACTGGCTCTGAGATGTAGTTGCCTCTCTTCCCAGCTGTATTTCCGGTGGAGAAATCCCATAAACGGTGGTCGGAACCCCGTGCCAGGTGCTTCCCTGACGCCTCTGAGGAGGGCAGCTGCTGGAGCCCTGGGGATGGCGGCAGGGTGGGCACCAGGGTCGGGGGCCACTCTGAAGGGGCAGGAGGGAGGGGAGCTCCAGGTTGGGGGCATCTGAGACGAGCCCTGGCCACTGCTTAGGGCTGGGGCAGGGTGGGGGCAGAGGAGGGAGGGGCCCAGGGCCGAGAGCCTGGGCACGGGGCAGTGTAGGCTGCTGCTGGGCCAGAGTCCTGTCTGCAGTCCCGCCGGAACCCACCGTCCTGAGCCGTCCAGGGCGCAGCTGTGCCAGCGCCTCGGTGGGGCAGAGGGCGATGCAGCCCAGAGGTGGCACGACTGAGGCCCTGACCCCATGCGTCTGGCTGGAGACCTGCCTCCAGCAGCCTGTCCACTGCTGACCCCTCGCAGCCTCAGTGCGCAGCTCGGGGCCAGCAGGTGGGCTCAGGCCTCTGAAGGCCCTGGGTGGGGGCTCCGGCTGAGTGGGCAGAGGGGCCACCCTGAGCTGCCCACGTGACCAGCTCCTGCCACCTCCAAGCACCTGGGCCCGGAGCACCACGGAGGGAGGGGCGGCACCGTTTTCAGGCAAACAGGAGGCTGTTTCAGAGTTGACGGACTGTGCTGTGCCCGGGGCGCAGTCTTGGTGTCTCGGCGGCCTGGTCCAGGGGTGGGTTGGTAGTGAGCAGGTGTGAGGTTGGACAGAGGTGGAGACTGAGCGCCAGGCCAGCCGGACCCGCGGGATGGAGGCCGGGCCAGTGGTCAGTGTCTGCGGGTCACCTGGGGCAGACGCCCGTCCATGGGCTCAGCAGCAGGACCTCGGGCAGCAGAGACCTGCACCCAGGGAGGGAAGGGCGCCACCTGCCAGACCCCGAGTGCCCGCTGCCCAGAGGCTGCAGCCTGCTGCGTCTGGCAGAGACGACGGGACGCAGGCTGCACGCAGGCAGGCGAGCAGTTCCCGGACGCCTGACCCTCCCGGGGGCGCGCACTGTGAGGCCCGGCTGACCCTGCTGTGGCCACCGCGTGGAGGTGGAATTTCCCGCAGGTGGGCTGGGACTGGCTTCTACCTGAGCAGCTCAGGAGGAGGGGACTTTCCAGGCTCCGCTTTCCTCCCTGTGGGAGGCGGCTCTGCCTGAAACTTCTCGAGTTAGCTGTCAGACAGGTAGCCCCGTGCCTTGGCAGGAAGGCACAGAACCACCGTGATGCCTCCCTGCCTCGGGACCTGGCAGTACCCGACTTGTGAGCATGTGTGCACATGTGTGTGTGGTGAGTGCACGTGTGTGCACGTGTGTGCCTGTGCACTCCCCTCTGCACGCCATGGTGGCCACCTGTCCTGGGACTGCCCAGGTTCACGTTCGAGGACCCCATGCACCCCTGGGACGGTCAGCTGGGTCACCCGTCTTTTCTGTTCCTGTGGAGCTTGGGATCAGGAGAGCAGGACCCCCCAACACAGGTCCAGTTCTCGGGAGCAGCCACACGTGGCCCGCACATGGGGCCAGTAGCACACGTGTCCTTGCACACGCAGACAGGCCCACGCAGGTCCCGGCCGCTCACCCCCAGGAGCGGGCAGCCGTGCGTGCTGGGCCAGCCCAGGCTGGCGGAATACCCCGGGTTGGTGGCTTGGACGACATGCCTGTTTGTCCCCAGCCCTGGGGCTGGGCTTCAGACAGGCTGGGCCCCCCGGAGGCCTCTCCTGGGTGTGCAGACGGCACCTCCTGCGTCCTCACGCCGCGTCCCTCTGTGGCTCTCCTGGGGTCGCTCCTTCCTCTGGCAGTGATGCAGTGCTGTGGGGTCAGGCCCCACTCCCGTGACCACCTGACCTTGATCACCTCCAGACACAGCGCCTGGGAGTCGGGGCTTCAGCATGTGACTCTGGGGACACGTGCGGCCCTCACACCTGCTGTGCTCACAGCTGCTCAGGGCACCGTCTTGCACACCCACACACTCGCCAACACGACTGCTGCCACGGCATCGGTCCAGCCGGTCCTGGACACGTGGGCCCGTGACCCTGCTCTGGAGCCCAGGGCTGATGCTGAAAGAAAGTCCGACTGTGCCTGTCTCCTGACCGAGTGTGCTGCCTCGGTTTACCCACGTGCGCTGTGAGGGTTGGCTTATGTTGTGCCCCCTGCTTCTCCCTGAGGGGCTGCCCTGTGAAGGGGCCATGTGGGCCCGGAAGGAGCAAGCATCTGAGGGGTCCCAAGATCACCCTGTCCAGGCAGCTCGGCTGGGCACCCAGCACTTCCTGGTGAGGGTGTGGGGAGGCTGGTGTGGGGAGGACGTGCAGACCAGACAGTGGGGGGACCGGGCAGTGGTCAGAGGCTCTGGGTCCCACTGTGGTCCCAGATCTGCACCTGGCAGGAGGGCTGGGTCTGAGGTGTGTAGGCATAGTAGTGGAGGGGTGTCCTGGTCCCCTCCTCCTGCCCTCCCTCCCACTTCCCCCGGCTTTTTATAGCCACATCCTGCAAGGAAAAAACCCAGACTCCTGCACAGCTGGCGAGACGAAGATGTGTGTGGGTGCTCAGAGGCCCCGAGGGCCCCGCTCGGCCCTCCTGCTGCTGGGGCTTGTGCTGGGCACTGCGGCCAAGTCCACCTGCCCCAGGAACACCTACCCCTCAAACGGCAGGTGCTGTTTTGATTGCAAGCCAGGTGAGTGGCCTGGCCAGGGAGGGGGGAGGGTGTCTGCAGGGACCCAGGGATGGGGCCATGGATATGGAGGACGTGGGACCGGGAGACACAGGCAGGTGGGGAGGGGTGCAGGTATCACGGGACAAGTGACTCAGGGTGGTGGGGAGCCGGAACCAGGCCTGGGACAGGCCAGGCCGTGAGGATCCCGGGTGTCCCCACAGGTTTCGAGATGGTGAAGCGCTGCGCGGACAATGAGGACACAGAGTGCCAACCGTGTAACTCAGGCTTCTACAATGAGGCCGTGAACTACGGGGAATGCAAACCCTGTACTCTGTGCAACCAGAGTGAGCTCCCCCTCCCACCCGCCCAGACCACATTCACCGGAGGCTCCCAGGGTCCCCGCAGCCACAGAACCAACCCCAAACCACAGGGGGCATGTTCCCTCCGCCTGGGGGTCCCCAGAGGCACCGCCCTCCTCCCCGTGGGCTGAGACTGGTGGAGTCAGACTGGAGCACATGTCAGCCACGTGGCTGTGGAGGGTCCTGCCGTGGGCTGGAGGGAGTGCGGGAGGGAGGCCAGGCTGCCACGGACTGTTCCTGGGCCACATGGCCTGGAGGGACGCAGCACCTGGGGACCAGAGGGAACGGGACCTGCTGGCCTGGGGGAGGCGGCTCTGGGCCTGTGGCTTGGCCCTCCAGTCCCCCGACTGTGCCCCCAGGAAGCGGGAGTGAGGTGAAGCGCCAGTGCACCTCCGTGAGCGACACCGTCTGCAGCTGCCGGCCTGGCACCCAGCCCCAGGGCGGCTTCAAGCTCGGAGTCGGTGAGCCTGGGGCAGGGTCAGGGCCACGTCCCACACAGCACCCTCCTCACCGAGGCCGCCAGGTGCCCCTCGCCACCAAGCAGGCCACGCCCAGATGCGGGTGCGGGGTCAGGGGCCCCCTGGGCAGGGCCCGTGGGTGGAGGGGCTTCCAGGGGCCATGGGGTCGAGTGCCCAGAAGCACAGGCCCGGCCACCTCCCTCTTTCTTACAGACTGTGCCCCGTGCCCACCAGGACACTTCTCCCCGGGCAACAATGAGGCCTGCAAACCCTGGACCAAGTGCGTGTCCCAGGGGTGGGACAGTGTGGGTGGCCTGGGGACCCGGGACCTGGGAGCCAGGTTTAGAAGCAGGAAGCACTGGCTGGGGGCGCTCCTGGCCCTGTCCCCTGCGTTGGCCCCTCTCCCTGCTGGGCTGCAAGTGGGAGCCCCTGAGACCCTGCCCGGGGCCCAGTTCTGGTGGGCTCTGTGGAGGAGCAGGGGTTTGGGGTGAAGGGTCAGGAGGGGCCTGGGGGGCAGAGAGCGAGGGAACCGGTGAGCAGTGGCCTCAGAAACCTGCAGGGTGGGGCCGAGGTTTGGGGGAGGGCAGCAGGGTCCGGGCCCCTCCCACCGCCTTCTTTGTGGATTTGGTGCTGTGAGGTGACCAGTGTGGACACTGTCCCCGCCCGGGGCCTCTGAGCCATCCTGACCCCGCCCCCACCTCTAGCTGCACCTTGGCGGGAAAGCGCACTGTCCAGCTGGCCAGCCGCAGCGCCGATGCTGTCTGTGAGGACAGGACGCCCCCTGCCATTCCATCCCGGGAGACCCGGGTCCCCCCAGCCCAGCCCCCCACTGCCCAGCCCCCTCCCACCACTGCCTGGACCAGGATCTCACAGGAGCCCTCTACAACCCCCTCAGAGTTCCCCAGGGGTAAGGACCCCAGCCCCATGGTAGGAGGGTGGGGGGGGTGGGGGGGATGCCCTGGCCTCCTGGGGCCTCTCCAGCAGCCCTCTCCCCACAGGCCCCGCGCTGGCCGCCGTCCTGGGCCTGGGGTTGGGCCTGGGCCTGCTGGCCCCAGTGGCCGTGGTGCTGGTCCTACTGCTGCAGCACAGAGCCTGGAGGCCGCTGCCCGGCGCCAAGCCCCACGGTGAGTGCCCCGCAAGCCCCCCTGCCGCCCTCTCCACCCTCATCTACCCCCCTGCAGGCCCCGCAGGCCCCCCTGCCGCCCTCTCCACCCTCATCTACCCCCCTGCAGGCTGGGTGGCTGCCCTCTCCATCCTCATCTACCCCCCTGCAGGCCCCCTGCCGCCCTCTCCACCCTCATCTACCCCCCTGCAGGCCGGGTGGCTGCCCTCTCCACCCTCATCTACCCCCCTGCAGGCCCCCTGCCGCCCTCTCCACCCTCATCTACCCCCCCTGCAGGCCCCGCAGGCCCCCGGTGGCCGCCCTCTCCACCTCTCACTCTCCCCGCAGGAGGGAGCAGCTTCAGGACCCCCATCCAGGAGGAACAGTCCAACGCCTGTTCCTCCCTGGCCAAGATCTGAGCTCATCTGCTGGAGGGGAGGCTGGCGTCCCTCCCCTGTGCAGGCTGCCGCACCGGGCACCCCTCACCCCATTGGCACAGTACCTTGTCACCCTGCTGCCTCGCCACCCTGTGCCCCCCTTGGCTCGTCACCCCATCACCTCGTCTTCCCCTGCACCGTTCTAGGTGCCTCGGGCTGGCCCTGGGCTCAGCTATGTATGCCGTGCATACTCCCCCCCAGGGTGGTGACCCCAATAAATGATGTCGGAAAATGTGGGTCTGTGTCTGGACACCCTTGGGCTGAGGCTGCCCGTTCGTGGAGGGGCTGGGGTTTCTGAGGCAGGGGTGTGGCGTGGGGGCCCCAGCGGACCACTCGGGCCCTGGACTGTCCCCCTACTCTCTGGGCATGTTTTGGTACCTGGGGGGGGGCATGGAGGTCAAAACAAAGGGCCTGGGCAGCCGGACAGTGAGGTCCTCAACTTGAGGCCCGTGGCCTGAGCACGGAGGGGGTCAGACTGAGGTCCTGGGCTAGGTGCTAACGGAGGCCCTGATCCCCAAGGGGCACTGAGGATGCCCCCATCTCTGCCCCTCTGAGAGCCGAGCGTCGTTTCCTTCTCCTCCCAGACCCTCAAACCCCCACCTGCCAGCCCTGAGTGTGGTGACCTGGACCCATGCCTGCAGGGCCCCTCGTCTGCGAGGCTACTTGGTGCCCTCTGCGTGCCCAGGGCCGAGCATCTCCCAGGGTCCTTGGGGGAGACTGTACTCCCAAGTCCTGCAGTGGGAATGTCAAAGACACTCTGGGAAACAGGGCGCCTGGTGGCTCATGAACAGAAAGGTCCCAAGGTAGCCCTGCAGACCCATCCGTCGGCTGCACGGTGGACAGAGAATCCGTGGCTCGTCCACATGGGCTGCTGGCCAGCTGTCAGACGCGGTCCTCTGCACAGCTCGGACGGCCACGCGTGGTTTGGGGACGGAGACCTGGGAGTGCAGGTGGCCCGCCCCGCAGCGTCCCTTCTGGCACGAGTCCGGAAGCTGGGACCCAGCCGGGGGAAACGCTGCTGGGAACCTGTGAGCACAACACCAGCCGCAGCGGCAGGTGGGCCCACCCTCGACGTCTGAAGCACATTCCAGAGCCACTGGAGGAATCAGAGATGAACCGCTGCGCGGGAGCGGGCCTCCGGGGTGCCTGGCAAAGACAGGCTCGGAGGCCTGCTCAGCCTCCACCCCTGTGCCCTCCAGTCCCACTGACCAAGGACTTGCCATCTACTGGGGTGTCCTGCCAAGGAGAGCAGCCGTGACCACTCCTGGGGTGCAGCTGGGAGGACTTGGGGCTCTTGTTCGGGGAACCTTAGTGCCACCTCCCTCAAGCTGCCCCAGAGGCCTCCAACCTTCCTCAAACCTCTGGCCCCTGACCCCGGAACCTCTGGTTGCAAAGGGGAGGAAACCGTCGCCCTTTGGTCAGCAGGGGCTCGCTGGGCTCCCACAGTGAGAAACAATCCCCCACACCTCTGATGCGGGGACCGTGGCCTCCAAGTGGGCCCTGAGGGAGGTGGTGGGGAAGGGCTTCCTCCCCAAGCCTGCCTCCAGCCCAGCGACGCCATGTGTGTCCCAGACGGATGCGTGGAGGCAGGGTGGTCGCCTCGCTGCTCTACACACCCTTGTGCACGCCTGGTTCTGCCGACAACCCCGACTTCCTCGTCTCCAGGCCTCCTCACCCAGCATGTCCCCACCTGGCCCCTCACGGGGCCCTGTGGGACCTTCGAGCCGTGAACACAGGTTACCGCTGCAAGCAGGAATACACGATGTAAAAATAGCCGCTGGGGAAGAGAGATGAGCAGACGCTCCCTGGCTGTCACGGAACCTCGCTCACCGCCCACCGCCCACCGCCAACGACACGACCGTAGGCTTTCCCCAGGGGCCGCAGGAAGGAAGCCTGGGGCACCGAGAGTTTCTGACGTCACCCTTGGCTTTTACAGGCTTTGCTTACGTCCCTGTGGTCACAGAATACGGTGCTTCAGGTAAAGGCTGTGGTGGGCCCCACCCCAGTGCACTTTTTTATTTTTCCATTTTTTGCTCAGACAGAGCGGGAGGGGGAGAGAGAGAAACATCCACGTGAAAGGGACACATCGAGTGGCTGCCACCCGCACAACCCAACCAGGGCCGGGGCCAAACTGCAACCGAGGTACATGCCCTTAGCAGGAACCGAACCCGGGTCTCTGGACCGCAGGCCGACGCTCTAACTGCTGAGCCAAACCGGCCAGGGCTCTTTTTTTTTTTCTTTTTTCTTTTGATTGATTTTTAGAGAGAGATGGAGAGAGAGAAACATCGATGAGAGAGAACATCGATTGGCTGCCTCCTGCACGCCCCCCACTAGGGATCGGGCCCACAACCTGGGCCTGTGCCCTGAACGGGAATCGAACCGGCGACCTCTTGGTGCAGGGTCAACGCCCAACCCCTGAGCCGCGCCGGCTGGGCATCCAGTGGACTTTTCTTTCTCTGCAGATCCCGGCTCAGCTCAGCTGCCTCCCTGCCCCCTCCCCCATGAGCCAGTCCCAGAAGGCTCTTACTGTCCCTGCTCCGGAAGGACCAAGTGTCACAGCACACGGCCAGACAAGCACCCTGCGGGGGACACGTGTGTTCATTTCCTTGGGCCGGTCTACGGGGTGATTCCCAGGACTGAGCGATGCTGCCGGCGCAGGCCCGACCTCTCATGCCTTCAAAATGAGCAGCGGCAGGTCCAGAGCGGCCCAAGTTGCCACCCAGAGCACCAGTACCTGGCGCCCAGGTGTGGCCAGAAGGCCTCCCGTTCTGTCCTAGCTCTCGGACCCGCGTCTCCACTAGGAGCTGAACAGAGATCTCGGGGCCCTCTGGCCCCGCGGGCCTCACTTTATCCTCTGAGTCTCCGGCCGCTAGCTGGGAGCCAGAGTCGCCCTGGAGAGCCCTCTCTGAGGAGGCTGGTGAGGCTGCTGAGAGTTGAGTCACAAACTGCTAATTCCTATCATTTCCCTCAGACAAGGAACCGCTGCCCCATGCAGCTCTCAGAGGGGCTTGAACCAGGTCTCCTGGGTCTGCCCGAGTCACAGCTGGCACCTCCAGCCTGTCCCAAGACCCCACCGCCCAACCCCCAGCATTCCCAGCAGTCTTCACCAGCTTCCCTGTGCCGAGCCTCAGCGAGAGGGCTGGGAAATAGGGCTGCGCAATCTAGGCGGGCTTCCTGGAGGAGGAAGGCCCCAGAACCCTTCAGTGCCACAGCGGGGAACTGAGGCTGAGACACAAGGGACCATTTCAAGGTGACTTGGAGGCTGTTCTCTGTGACCCCAGGGCCACTTCAGGGGCCGGCCTTCCACAGCCTCCAAGATGACCAGGTTTGTCCAGGGAGGTGTGGGTCAGAGCTGAGTCGTAACCAGACAGGCCTCCCCGGTCCAGGCTTCAGGGGTCTGGAGCTTCAATCAGTGGCCTGGTGTCTCCACTCCCCCCACCCCCCAGTCCCAAGGAGCTCCTTCAGTGGGGAGGGGTGGGGGGTTGCCCTGGGGGCTCTAAGCCATAGCGAGGTGACTGCGGGCTGCAGCCCAGGGGGGTGTGTGGGGCATCCCAGGCTGCTGGAGCCCCACCAGGCCTGGTCGGCCAAGTCAGGGGGGAAGGCTCGTCCTAATTCCCAGAACATGTGTGTGGGGTACTCATCCGGATCTCTGCACGGGGATACTGAGTTCATTGCTGTCTCGTACTGTGGCCACGCCCATGGCAGGTGTGAGGGGGGTGTCTGGGACTTTACGAAGGACAAGGACGTCACCCCACTCCCTCTGGGGATCCAAGGAGAGCTCTCAAAGCCTGTGCCTGCCTCTCTGCCCAGGAAGCTGGGGGGGGGGGGGAGGGCTCAGCCAGGAGCCCAGTGGTGCAGTGAGGGAGGAGCTCCTTGCAGTCTGCAAGGGGGGCCCTCTGGAGCCCACCTGTGGGCACTGCCCATCTGAGATGACTCAGGGCCCAATCTGCCGCCTGCATCTGGAGCCCACCGCTGCTGCCCTCCTGCCCACACCCCCTCTCCTCAGACCTGGTGGCCACAGGTTTTGCATAGATAACATTGTAGATCTCTGCTCTGCCCACAGTGGGACCTGGCTGGGGATGTCCGGGTGGGAATTCCGGGGCCAAAGGGCAGGAACACTTAGGAACCCCCAAGGTCACCCCACGTGCGCCTCAAGGCTTCGATCAACTCTGAGTCAGGTGCTGTGCACGCCTGGACAGGGGTAGCCCGGGCTCCTCTGAGTTTTTCACAAGCAGACTTTATTTTTAGAGTAGTTTTAGGCTCACAGGAGAACTGAGGAGCAGGTCCAGAGACGGCCGCACCCCGCGCAGCCCACCCCGCGCGGACGCACCCACAGCAGGTGCATCAGCGCAGCCGAGACCCTGCACTGGCGCGTCATCAGCACCCGGCTCAGCGGGGTCCCGGGCGCGCTGCATCCGGCTCGCAGCGTGAGGACTGCGGGGCGCGGTCCCCCCCTCCCCCGCCCCCCCCGGGGGCCCCACTGCCCGGCCCCTCAGTCCCGAGCTGGTGGCTGGTGCTTCGGGTCCGCGCTGGTGGTCGGACGTCTCTCCGCCCTGGGGCGTGGCGGCGGGGGCGCAGGGCGGGGTCTGGCGTGTCGGTGGGGGCGGGACGACGCCTCAAAGTCCCGGTGCTGGCGGGGGTGACGGGTGCCATGGGAGCTGGGGTCCGGCGGGCCGCCCTGTGGGGCGTCGTGCTGCTCCTCCCGCTCGGCCTGGGCCGGTGCTCCCCGGGGGGCCCGAGCTGCGCCCCCGGCCGCCGGCTGCTCGGGACCGGGACGGACGCGCGCTGCTGCGGCTCCTGCGCCCCCGGTAAGGCGCGGGCGGGCGGGCGGGGCGGAGGGGGCGACCCGGCTCCGGCGGGGCAGACGGTCCAGGTCGCGCCGAGGCCCCAGCGCAGCCCCGGGACCTGGGAGCGCGCTCAGAGACCCGGGCCGGGGCGAGGCGTGCGGAAGCCTTTTCCAAGACACGTCGGGGGTCCCGCTTCCCAGCCAGCGGGAAATGAGCCCTTGGTCAGCCGCCAGGCCACTTCCCGCCCCTTTTCGGCCTCAGCGGCTCTTTCCACACACACCCCCGTCCCTGACCTGAGGCTGTGGGTGAGGGCAGGTGGAATGTGCCTGCCCGGGGACAAATATCAGAGGGAAAACACCCCGGAGTGTCACCCTGAGGGGTCCTGGGGCTTGGGGTGTGCGCGGGGGACAGGCAGGCTGCCTCAGGGGGGCCAGCGGGGAGGCAGTGCAGGGAGGGGAGGCCCCCAGGCTGCTCTGTTGTCCAACGGGGCCGTCTGAGCCACAGCCCTGCAGGGTGGGAGCCGTCTCAGGGCAGTGGGTGGACATAGCAGGCCGCATGGGTGGAGGAGTTGGGTGTTCAGGAGGGAGGGACACAGCTGCGTAAACAGGGGTCCTGGCTCCTCCAGAGGTGCCCTCGGCCCCCCGGTGATGTCAGGGTGGGCGGTGGGCTGCCCTGGAGGCCCCGGAGGTGGGAGCCCTTTGAAGGAGGGCTCAGGGCAGCACTGAGGGCGAGTGTGTCCCCTGCTACGCAGAGGCCTGTCCTGTAGGAGCCTGCGAGTGTGTCCAGCCTGAGTTCCACTGTGGGAACCCGGAGTGCACCACCTGCCAGCACTACCCCTGCCCGCCCGGCCAGGGGGTGAAGGCCCACGGTAAGGCCCTGCCGGCTGCAGCCAGAGCCGCCCAGCGCCCACGGGCACACCTGTGCCGAGTGGCGTTGAGTGGAAGGAAACTCCCATAGACATGTCCTCAGGCAGGTGGCGCCACGTCCTGTGCTGTTGGGGTCCCAGCCCACTCGGTGCACTTCGGCGAGCCCTTCCTGCTCCTAGCTGGGTCCCTCCATCCAGAAGGAGGCGCTCATCAGGGCTGGTCATGGGGGACAGTGGGGTGTGCAGGAGGTGTCCACGGGCTGTGGGTGCTCGGGCTCTGGCTTCGACCACACGCAGGTCCTGCACCCACCCCGACTATCTGCCTGGGGACCGTCCTGCCCCTGAGCCCCATCTGGGGGTCAACCCCTTTTCTGGAAGGAACAGCTTACATCCTACTGGGGCTTGTTTACCTCACGGGAGGGGCTGGGGGAGTGCGGAGAGAGGGGAGTCCTGCCTGGTTGGACAGTGCGAGTCCAGGGTCCGCTGGGGGACACCAGCCTCAGCCCCTCTCCAGGACCCTCCCTGGCCTCCTGCCCTGCAGCCGCGGGACCAAGCCTAAGGCTTACGTGACCTGGCTCCAGCTGTCCTCTGCTTCCACCTGCTCCCCACCCCTCTGGTCCCACCTCACCCTGCTCAAGGAACCCCACCCAGGCCAGGGTCACGGCCTCTGGTCCCCCAAAGCTGCCTCTACCACAGATGCCTGGCCTGGATCTGGTGCACGCTGGCACAGCAGGAACTGGAGACCTCTGTCACAGGGGCTGGGGGGGGGGGGGTCCACACCCACCCAGCAGCCCTGCAGCCTGTCTGCCTGTCTTTCCATTCGTCCGTCTCCAGGGAAACTCCTGTTCGGCTTCGAGTGTGTCGACTGTGCCGCAGGGACCTTCTCCGGGAACAGAGAGGGCCGCTGCAAGCCTTGGACAGAGTGAGTCCTGGTGGGCCTTCGGGCAGCTCGCAGGGAGGGGCCCCAACAGCTGGGAGGGCGGCCGCGTGGAGGGGCTGCTGGCGGCCGCGGGCTGATGGAGGGCTCTGTGTCATGCGCCCCAGGTGCTCCCAGCCCGGGCTGCGCTCCGTGTTCCCCGGGAACAGGACGCATGATGCAGTGTGCAGCCTGGTGCTGCCGTCCACTGAGATGCACTGCTCGCTGCCCATCCTGCTCCTCATCGTGGCCGCCTGCATCCTGGCCCTGAGCGTGGTCCACCTCGGCCTGCACATCTGGCAGCTGAGAAGGCAGCGAGTGTGGTCCCCAGGTCAGTGGTGCCCTGGGGTGGGGAGGCGGGCCCCTGGACTGCCCGCTGACCGGAGCCCCTCTGCAGAGACCCAGCTGCTTCTGGAGGCGCCGCCGCCAGCCGAGGACGCCTGCAGCTGCCAGTTCCCTGAGGAGGAGCGGGGGGAGCAGCTGTCCGAAGACAAGAGCCAGCTGGGGGACCTGTGAGTGTGAGGCCTGGCCACCTTCCGGCACAGCGGACCCTACGCCAGACCCTCCCAGGACCTCGCCCACAGCTGGCCCTTGGGAGCAAGGGCTCTGTGCCTTACTGAGGGGCCCTGATCTGGCCCGGCCCTGCTCCCCTCGAGGGCGGAAGTGGGTGGGGATGGTGACAGCCACGAGTCCCCCAGACCAGGCAGAAGACGTAGCAGCTGTGGCTGGACTGTGGGAAGACACAGACACGGCCACGGCGGCCTCCCCACCTTGCCAACTCTGCTGGGGTGGGGTCTGTGGGCCCCCAGCTACCAGACAGGAGGCTCTACCCAGCCCAGGACCTGGATGCAGGTGGTGCTCAATAAACGTGTCAGTGACCCGAGTGGATGTGTGCTGGGGGGCAGGGACAGGGACGGGGGGCATGCGCTGCAGGGCCTCCCCCTGTGCCCACAGTCCCTCCCAGACTAGGTGTGGTTGGGTTGAGAGCAGAAGTGAAACCATGTTGGGGCAGGGACCAGTCCCATCCTCGGCAGCCTGCCAGCGCACCAGGACAGCTGGGTCCAGAGCCTGTGTCATCTGGGCCCAAAGTCAAGGGTGAGGTGTCTCTGCACTCGGCACTTCCTGGTGGGCGGTGGGCAGTCTCAGCCTGGCGGGCTTCGGGCCCCGGCCCTCTCCCCAGGTCCTGCTGCTGGCCTCCACCAACTCACCGACCTGTCTCCCTCGGAGCGTGCTTCTGGGGTTCCTCCCAGTGGGGGCGAGAGCACCCTCCCCGCCTCCGGGCAGGTCTGATAAGGACTTGTTGGCACGGTCGTCCGGGGTGTGGCAGGGAGGCCAGTGGAGACCCGTCTCAGAGCAGCGCCTCCAGGCGCTCGCATACCTGGCCACCTGCCTGCAGCCTAAATGCACCTACTTGCTTCAGCGGCCCCTGCCCGCCCCTCCACGCATGCTGCAAGTAGAGCCCTCTTGACTCATTCGCTCTCACCCACCCCGTCCCCACGGACAGTGGGCCAGGTGGGTACTGCTCACAGCAGGTAGGCAGAGGAGAGAGGAACTCTGGGTGTGTCCCACCCAGGGCATCGCCCCACCCTGGCATAGCCCAGCTCATTTTACCCCAGAGAGGAGGGTGTGGAGAGCTTCATGACTTCACTCACTTGGGAAATACTTATCCTTGGGCCCTGTTCTGTGCCCACTGGATCCCCGGCCCTGGGCACATCCACGGAGCCCACGTCCCTGGTGAGTGTCCAGGTGAATTAGCTAAGAAATAAGGACATGCAGGTGGGCTGGCTGGGCATCTGGGAGACATGTCCCGGGAGAGCCCACGGAGCGGGAGCGGCTTAGACCTGCCTGCCACGCTCCTGATGCGCCTGTCTCCGGGCGGGTCTCCCGTCCTGCCAGCCTTCGCCCCCTTCCGGAAGCTTGAGGCTTGCTCTTGTCACCGGGGTCACTTGACTGCTCCACCCCCACAGACAGGCACCCGGTGCTCACGGCTGTCTCAGACCCTCCCTAGGTGCCTGCTGCGGCTGCTCCGGGGACCCTCACTCAGCCCTCCTGGGAGGGGTTGGAAGTCAGGTCATCTGAGGACTTTCCATAGAAGTCACTGTGACTTGCCCACACCACGGTCATGAGGGGCCTCTGGGTGGGCGGTAGGACTGACTCAGCGCGGAAACTCCTCCTGAGCCGCCTGCGTAGGAGGAGGCACCAGTACCCGGAAGCCAGCAGCCCATGCACCGCCTTGGGGGATTCCAGGGCACCAAGGCCCTTGGAGGGGTGGGAGGGGTCAGTCCCAGGAAGCTGGGGCTTCGGGAGGGCTTGGGGAGTGTCCCTCCACCCCAGGTCCCCCCACCTCCATCTGCCCTCCCTCCAGCTCATGTCTCTGCTCAGGTCTCCTCTGAGCTGCCAGGATCCCATGATTGGCAAGCTTGGCCTGGCTCTGCTGTGCCCCAACTCAAACTCTGCGGTGACAAGGGGCTGTGCACGGTGCTGAGGCTGGGGGTCCGGTGGAGACGGGGCTGTGGGTGTTCGGAGGCAGCCCAGGAGTTTGGGGAGGGGAGGCCTGAGCAGCTCAAGGTTCAGAGGCGGGAAACGTGGACAGGTAGTGGGGGGCAGTGCCCAGGGCAGGGTGCCGAGGACACTGGGGTGCTGGCTGTGGGGAAAGGCAGGTGGGGGACTGGTGCTGAGAGAAGGCGCTGAGAGGCCCCCTCCCCCTCCCCCTCAGCCCAGCCTCCTCAGAGGCTGGTAACCTGGTCTGATTTCCGGGACTATGGAGCCCAAGAACCCCCAAGCTGAAGCTATACACCCTGAGAACCCCTACCCACTGGAGAAGCTCTCCAGATGTTCCGGAAAACCACAGCCCCTCCCCTGGGGTTGGAGTTCAGCCTCAGATAAGGATCCAGAGGCCATCTGTTCTCAGAAGTGCTTCCGGCCACAGCAGCTCCTCACCCAGCACCCCCTTCCCCGCCTGGAGAAGGCCCCTGCCCTGTCCACTGCTGAGGTTGGCACTCAGCCAGCGTGGGAACCCCGCAGAGACCCCCGGTGGGGGCGGGGAGGAGGTCCATCCTAGACAAAACTGGGCACCAACACCTCCTGGTTCCAGGACAGTGCAGGGGGCTCTGCAGGTCCCTGGTGCCGCCAGGTGTCCTGAGGTGTGCCTGCCCCAGAGTCGAGGGCAACCTGACCCCTGAACTTTCTGCAGATGAAAGGTATTGCCTGAGTTTTCCGCCCACCAGCAGGACCCCTGGAGAGGACAGGGAGAGGGCGGAGGAAGAGAGAAAGGGAGTGTGTGGGGCAACAGGGGGAGGGGAAGAGTGGGCCCACGACAGCTTTCAGTGGCTTGCACTTGGCCGAGTGCAGTGCCTAGCGTCCCTGTGCTGGGCACTGGGCACCACCCCTCCCCCGCCACAGCAGGGGTCTCAGCGCCTCCGCTGTGGTTGCCACCCACCCTGTTTGAGTATTGGGAGGGCACCTCCTATCTGCAGGTGCCCATGTGCCCCATGTGCCCACAGCTCCTCAGACCCCATCTCCTGCCTGCCTTTCCCTGGGTCCTTAAGGTCCTGAATGTGGGCTGGTGGGGCCGGGGGTGTGGCATCACCTTTGGGGGTGAACCAACCGCAGTGGCTCTCAGGAATCCTCATTGGACATTCGGGCCCTCAAGGGTCCTAGGGACCTAGGAGCTGCAGGTGGCCCAGGCCTTTGGGGGAGCCCTGGGATAGGGGTGCTGTCAGGATAGGGCAGGCTGCTCTGCCAATGTGCACTTCTTGTCACATCACAGGTCCCCGTAGGTCATTGCACACACTCAGGGTCCAGGGTTGGCAGAGGCGGCAGGGACAGCATCTCCCTGAGGACTCCGGCCACCCACGGGGCCCACAGCCACGGGGCAGCTCCCTGACGGAGTCCGAATGTGCCGGGACAGCGCTGATGCCACCACGGGCCACGCCGACAACCGTGTGGGCAGAGGACCCGAAGGCAGGGACTCGCAGGGTGGGTGAATGTAAGGGAGGGGTGCTGACATCTGTGAGCTGAGACAGGGGGTGCAGAGGCCCCGCGGGCAGATCGAGAGGGGGCCCCGAGGTAGCACAGCCGTGCAGCAGCCTGGATGCCACAGGGAACATGGCCGGGACCCCAAGGCCCAGGTGTGGGTTTTACAAAGACCGTGCACTCAGCTCGCCCAGGAGGCCCCCTTTCCGATGGAGGCCGGTCTCCACCCACCCCAGCCTCGGGCACAGAGCAGGCAGCCCCCCAGCATGGCCCTTCATGGAGAGAACACCAGGCTGGAGGCTCCTGGCAGCAGCGACAAGTGCGTGCCTCTTGCCTGGGCGCCCCACACTCCAGGAGCAGAAGGGCGATGAGGGTGCTGGGGGTGCAGGCGCTGGGCGGGCTGAGGGATTGCACAGGTTGGACCCTGGCTCTGGCCCCTGCCCCGCCCCCGCCCCGGCTGCAACCTGTCTGAGCCCCAGTTCCCGCCTTCCTCGCCCCGGCTCCAGTGGGACGTGGTGCACAGCGCCCTCTGGCGGTGCTGTAGCGGTTGCGTCCCTCGGAATCCAGCTGCCTTCCCCATGGAGTCGGGGGGGGGGGGGGGGGGTGGCCCCAGCCAGAGCTCCGTGACAGAGCGCACAGGGGGTCCCGCAGCGCCCCCTGCCTAGGCCACTGATGTCTGGGTCGGATTCGAGGTCAGAAGGGTGGGTGGGTCAGGAGCATTTGCCACTTGGCTGACCACTGGGAGAGGTGAGCAGGGCAGGTGAGGGAGCACAGGAGGAGGGGGTGCAAACTGGGGTGGGCCTAAGGCCGGCTGTCTGGACCCTGGGGCTGGACTGGGGTGGGTACAGAGTGGCTGGGAGTGGGGGGTGCAGAGGTGGGGAGGGGATTATAGCTGGTCTGGACACTTAGGGGCAGGGTGCTTGGACACATCAGAGGTCCTGAATCACCCCGAAACCTTGGGGCTGGGCCCATGGAAACGCCCAGGCCCCACAGGGATGCAAGGGTGGGCCCACTGTTGGCCAGCGTGTCCTTCAGGGCAGGGTCCTGCCTTGGCTGGGTGTCCTCCGGGCCCTGCCTGCTTGGAAGTCAGGGCTGCTGGGGGGCAGGAAGTGCAGGGCCCTGGGGTTCCAAGGCCCAGGCAGAAACCGTGTCTGGGGCTGAGATGAGGAAGAGAGTTGGGGGGAAGGCCTGGCAGGGGGTCTGAGGAACAATCTGGGTTAAGGGGGCCGTCCTTTGGGGATCCAGGAGGGCACCAGACACCTTTCCTGGGGATCACAGAGCCAAACTGTGGGTTCTGCGTCGGGTCCTGGACACAGGGTGATGGGAGGGAGCCCCGGGGCGGGCGGGGGCCCACGATGGAGGCAGCCCCGGGATGAGCAGAGCAGGGGCTGTGGGGGCTCATCTCCCCGTCCTGCAGGACAGGCCACCCCATCCCTCCACCTGTGCCTCCCGAGGGCGGGTCCCAGCCGGGAGGAGGGCGGTGGCCGAGCGAAAGGCGCAGACCCAGGGGACGTCCAGACAGCAGGACCCTGACCCGTTGGCGTTTGTAACAAAGTAGCCTTTATAGGTCTGAGAGGGCGCGGGCGGCGCTAGGAGCCGCGGTGGTCCTCGGGCCTGCGCTCCTCGTGGTGCTCCTCGGCCGGGTCCTTGGGGTCCGCTCGCGGCCGCTCGGTGTTCCGGGGGCGAACCTGCGCGGAGCGGGGCTCCCCTGGCCTGCGCGCGCCCGGCCTGTCCGCCGCGCGGGCCAGGGGCGCCGGGGACGCAGGCGCGGCCTGGCAGGGTCGGGGCGCCAGGCGGGGGCCGCTTGGGGAGCCCACCAGGCGCGGCCAGACATCCGTCTCCCCGTTGTGTAAGAGCACGAAGCGGCGCTGCGACAGCAGAGGCACCATCCTCTGGCCGCACAGGCTCTTCTGGAAGGTCTCCAGCGCCAGGTCTGGGGGAAGCAGCGGCAAGCGGGGGTGGAGAGCATCGTCGGGGGTGTGTGTGTGTGTGGGTGGGGGTGCGTGCGGAGCCCAGTCTCTCCAACATCATGTTTGCAGGGCCGGGGACAGAGGAGGTGAGGGAGTGGTGGGGGGTGGGGCCCAGGTCCGGTGGGGTGTGGGTGGGCACTGTGGGGAGGTTGGGGCCCCATTCTTTTTCTGTGGGGCCTGGGTTGATACCCTGGTGCTTGGGATGTTGAGGGTCGGTCTGTGGGCATCTGAACTAGGGGAGAAGAAGGGGCGCTCATGCACGTCAGGGCAGGCAGCAGAGGGGCGTGGACAGTCCAGGGACCTGTGGGAGACTCACCCAGGGTCTCCATGACGACGCCAGGAATCACCTCCTTCAGGACCTCACAGTTGGTGTGCAGCGCAGGATTGGAGTTCATCTCTAGCAGCCACACCTGGGCCCAACATTGGTCAGTGTCCTTCCCCACCTACTACTTGGCCAGCAGGAGGCGGAGGCTCTGCTCCGTTAAGCCAGGTGACCCTGGGCAGGTGGCTGCTTTCTCTGCCTCACTCCCCACATTTGCCCAAGGGTCTGAGGTCTGGCCTTGGAGGCTGCCCCAGCTGCAGGACGGGCAAAGCCTGATTGGACACAACACCCCCAGGGCTTGGGGAGGTCTGGCTGCCTGGGTGGTCACGGTCGCCCCTGCCTCCTCCACCTGCCTACAGGCCCCGCCCCCTGGGACGCCTCAACACCTTGAAGTTGTCGTCGATCAAGAAGTCACAGCCAATGAGGTCGAAGTAGCCCAGTTTGCACTCCAGCTTGGACTTGACAGCCAGGAAGCAGTGGACCATGATCTGCTGCATCTGCGCCTGTCGGAGGGGCAGGGAGGGAGGGGCTGGCTCTGTACCTCCCGGGCCCAACAGCCACAGCCACACCGCTCCCCTCAGGCTCACCTGCGCCTCCCCTACAGTCCCGCCTGTGTCCTCACGCACAGCCACACCTGTGTCCTCACGCACAGCCACACCTGTGTCCGCACCTGCACAGCCACACCTGTGTCCTCACGCACAGCCACACCTGTGTCCTCACGCACAGCCACACCTGTGTCCTCACGCACAGCCACACCTGTGTCCGCACCTGCACAGCCACACCTGCCCACATTTTCACTCTCGGAGTGTGAAGCAGGTGTACGGCCCCTCTCCTTTCACTGGACACGCACGTGGGGCTCGGGCTGTGGGGCAGGTGCGGGCACAGAGTGCAGAGGACCTGTGAGGTGCTGCCGTGCACAGAGCACGCGTAGCGTTGAGGCAGACCACACACCTGGCCCGCGCATTGTCACGCACTTTGCGCAGGAAGGAACACATGCTGGCGGGGAGATGGAGTTGGCGTGGGGATGAGGCTTGGGGGTGGCTTTTGTGATGTAAGGAGGGGTCTGGTCTGGGTGGGCCTCACTGAGGAGAGAGTGAGCAAGGCCTGCAGACTGGAAGGAGGTGCGGGGAGGTGGGCACCGGTCAGCGGTGCCTGAGCTGCTGGAGGAGCAGAGACGCTGCGGTGGCTGCAGGGGGCAGGGGGGGCAGGGGGCCAGGACGAGGATGCTGCCGGCCACACGGTGGGGCGTGGGGCGGGGGAGGACCCTGCCTTTCACCGAGATCAGAGCGGTTGGAGAGTGGGCACAGGGGGCACACGTGACCCATGCCCTAGCAGGCTCAGAGACCGGAGGGGCTGGAAAGCCGTCGCCACAGTCCAGGTGAAACGGTGGTGGCTGGGGCAGCTAGCGGCGGGGGGATGGGCTCTGAATATATTCTGGGGCGGAGCCCAGCCAAGTGGTGGATGGAAAGAGGAATGAGGTTTATCCGAGGTGTTTGGTCTGGGATCGGGAAGGACAGAGCTCCCGTCAACCAAGAAGGGGCAGGAGGACCACGGAGTCTGAGCGGCCTCCGGGCTGCAGCTGGGGCGTTGACAGCCATGGGCTGTAAGGCTCAAGTTCAGGAGCGAGGTCAGGGCCGGGTGTTGAAATATGGACTCTTAAGCACGGAGATGGGATTTGAAGCCAGGGGACTTTGACCACCAGCGGGTGTGGTCAGAGAGCAGAGCAGCGAGGCCCTGGGCCTCCAGGGAGCAGAGGCTGGGAGATGAGGGCCGGCACAGGGGCCGGGGAGGCGGGGACAGGCCCTGGGAGCCACGGGAAGAGCAAAGGGCGCGAGCAGCTCTGTCCAGAGTGGCTGGCAGGTCAAGCATGAAGAGGGCTGGGAACTGACCCCTGGGTTTGGCAGTGTGAAGGGCACTGTGGCCTTGAGTGTTTCAGGGGCAGGGAGAGGCGGCCCCCCCAGTGACAAGGCCAGAGGAAGGACGTCTGCAAACAGGCCACTCAAAAAGCGGGCAAACCGGTCAGAATAAACCTCAGAGCTCTGGAAATCAATGAGGCTTGCGGCACCTTGAGAAGTGCTTATTCAAGAAAAACCTCGAGCCCTGGCTGGTTTGGCTCCGTGGTTAGAGCATCGGTCTGGTGCCGAGGCGGGAGCTCAGTTGTGGTTAGGGCATGTACCTGGGTTGCAGGTTCGATCCCCAGCCCTTGTCGGGGGTCATGCGGGAGGCAACCGATCAATGTATCTCTCTCACATCAATGTTTCTCTCTATCCCTCTCCCTCCTTCCCTTCCACTCTGTCTATAAAAATCAATGGAAAAATATCCTTGGGTGAGGATTAACAACAACAACAAAATTCTTGCATCCTGGTAAGAACAGGGAGCTTGGTGGCATTTGAAGTTGCCCCGGTCAGTTTTGTCCCCCACTGCCCCCTCAGGGCCGCCTGGAAGACAGCAGGACCAGGCCTGGCTTGCAGAGAGTTGTAGTTATTTGCGGTGCCCTGTCTGGGGCCCCCCTGGAGAACCTCACTTGAAAAGGATGATGGAAAACTGTGAGAACGATGTCTTACCCAATGGAGGATACCAGGGAAGAGGTATACATTATAAAAGGGAGCAAGAAGAAATTCTGGAGTTGGGAAGTGTAATGATGGAAGTGTAATGACACGATCCAGCGTGAGGGACGGAGAGAGGAAGGAAGGAAGGAAGGAAGGAAGGAAGGAAGGAAGGAAGGAAGGGAGGAAGGAAGGAAGGAAGGAAGGAAGGAAGGACAAACAAAGCCGCAGGGACCCGAGGGCACCACCAGGCAGACCAGCAAGCACAGTGGGCATCCCAGACGGAGAGGAAGAGGCAGGGAGGATATCTGAGGTCATGATGACAGAAAAGTTGCCAAGTGTGATGGAAAACAATCCACGCGTCCAAGAACGTCAGTGAGCTCCAAAGAGGATGAACTCAAATAGGATGAGGTCCACCCCAGCACAGGCAAGACGAGACTGTTCACGTCCGCAGAGAAGGGACTCGTGCCTGGCTGGTTTGGCTCAGCAGTTAGAGCATCCGCCCACGGACCGGAGGAGAGAAGGGACTCCTTCCGGGGCAGCCTCAGGGACATGATCAGACACCACAGGGTCCATGCCCGGTGGTGTGGCTCACCGGTGGAGCATTGACCCAGCACCAAGACACCACAGGGTCCTGAAGGCAGCATCTGGCACATTTGGGTGGAAAGAACAGACCTGTCAGCCGAGAATTCCACATCCAGCAAAACCACCCTTCAAAAACGAAGGGGAAATGAAGACCTTTCCAGATTTAAAAATAAATAAGTAAATAAGTCATCACTAGAACTGGCCCACAGATTTTCAGGCTGAAATAAAAGGTCACTAGAAAATAACTCGAATTCACGTGAAAAATAAAGAGCACCGGAAGGATAATCACATTGTTAAGTATGTGACAGTATGGGTTGGCCGGTGCGACTCAGCAGCTGGAGCGTCAGCCTGCAGACCCAAGAGTCTCAGGTTCGATTCCCTGCCAAGGGCATGAACCTTGGTTGCAGGTTCAACCCCCAGCCCCAGTCAGGGTCATGGGGGAGGCAACCAGCCTGTGTGTCTCTCTCACATCGATGTTTCTCTCTCTCTCTCTCTCTCTCTCTCTCCCTCACTCTATCTGAAGAGAAATGAAAAACTATCCTCGGGTGAGGATTAAAAAAAAAAAACACAGCCCTGGCCGGTTTGGCTCAGCGGTTAGAGCGTCGGCCTGCGGTCCGGAGAGACCCGGGTTCGGTTCCCGCTAAGGGCACGTACTTTGGTTGCAGTTTGTCCCCGGCCCTGATTGGTCGTGAGGGTGGCAGCCACTCGATGTGTCCCTTCACGTCGATGTTTCTCTCTCTCTCTCTCTCCCTTCCTCTCTCTCCCTCCCCCTCTATCTGTACAAAAAATGGAAAAATATCCTCGGGTGAGGATAAAAAAAAAAAAAAAAACACAAACAGCATAAAGAGAGGTTGGAGCTGTGTAGGAACCATTTTTTATACTGTTGAAATTAATTTGGTATTAACCCAAACGAAATTGCTATACATTGAGATGTTAATAGACATCCCCAGGACAACAGCTAAGAAAAGAACTAAAAACTATAGAGGAAAAGAAATGACTGTAGCCCTGGCTGGTTTGGCTCAGCGGTTAGAGCGTTGGTCTGCAGTCCAGAGAGACCCGGGTTTGGTTCCCACTAAGGGCATGTACCTCGGTTGCAGTTTGTCCCCGGCCCTGGTTGGGTCATGTGGGTGGCAGCCACTCGATGTGTCCCTTTCATGTCAATGTTTCTCTCTCTTTCTCTCTCTCTCCCCCCGCCCCCCACTTTGCCTGAAACAAAAATGCGAAAATGTCCTAGGGTGAGGATTAAATAAGAAAAAGGAGCCCTGGCCGGTTTGGCTCAGCGGTTAAATTATCGGCCTGCGGTCCGGAGAGACCCGGGTTCGGTTCCCGCTAAGGGCACGTACCTCGGTTGCAGTTTGTCCGCGGCCCTGGTTGGGTCGTGCGGGTGGCAGCCACTCGATGTGTCCCTTTCACATCGATGTTTCTCTCTCTCTCTCTTCCCCTCTCTCCCTCCTGCTCTGTCTGAATAAAAAATGGAAAAATGTCCTCAGATGAGGATAAAAAAAAAAATATTTAAAAAAAAGAAAAAAAGAAAAAGGAAATGACTGTACAAAGGCAGCATTACAAAGTGCATTTCTATGTAACACAAGAGGAGGCGGTGACAGGAGAACTGACGGGCAAACGAGACAAATAGCAGGAAGCAGGTGGAAATCCCGCCCTATCAGCAGTTACGTCCGATGCAAGTCAAACTTTCCAGATAAAAGACGGAGCCTGGCCAAGCGCAGGAAAGCCCCTTGAGGCACCGTGCGACTTCAGCTTCCGAGACACAGACAGGTTGAAGGTAAGAAGGTGGGAAAAGGTATCGTCAGCAAACAGCAGCCAGAGGAGAGCTGGAATGGCTGTACTAGCATCAGCGAGAACAGATGTTACGACAAAAACGGAGGATATTCAAAAGTGCCTTCTACAGTGATGAGTCAAGATGGAGTAATTATAAACATATAGGCACCTACCAAAAGAGCCTCTGACTACGTTCAATAAAAACCAACAGAGCTGCAGGGAGACACAGACAATGCAACAATAATAGTTGGAGACTCCAACACCCACTTCCCACGATGGATAGACATATAGACAGATCAGGCAGCACATAGCAGACTTGAACAAAACTATAATTTATTTTTCTTTATTGATTTTTTGGAGAGGGAGGGAGAGGGAGGGAGAGAAACATCAATGAGAGAGAACATCGGCTGGCTGCCTCCTGCACGCCCCCCACTGGGGATTGCTCCCACAACCTGGGCATGTGCCCTGACCGGGAATCAAACCAGCGACCTCTTGGTGCTGGGTCGACGCTCAACCCCTGAGCCACCCCGGCCGGGCTTGAACGGAACCATAAATCAGCGAGACCTGACAGCGGACACACATTCTTCTCAAGGGCACAGGGAACATTCCCCAGGGCAGACATTTTTTAGGACACAAGTTTCAGGAATGTCTTTGAAGGGCTGGAATCATGCAGACTGTTCTCGGACCACAGTGGACTGAGAGTAGACGTGCGTGAGAAGGAAAGTTGGGAGCTTCACAAATATGTGGCGATAGAAGAACGTGCTGTGAAGCCACAAACAAAAGCAGCAGAATCTCACCGCAGCGGCAGCGAGAGCCGGGCCCAGAGGGCGTCTGTGGCCAAAACACCAACGTTCCGCGGAAGAAAGGCCTCAGATGGGGAACTAAGCCTCAACCCTGAGAAACTAGAAAATGAAGGGAAAAGCCAAAGCAGGTAGACTGGAGTGGACGCCTGTGGAGTGGAGCAGAGGAGACACGAGAGAGAAGTAAACAAAACCCAAAGCTGGCTCATCGAGAAGATCAACAAAATGGACAAACTCCTGCCTAGATGGACCGAGGAAAAAAGAAAAGAGAAATGACTAAAATCAAGAAAGGAAGACCTTACACAGAGGTGAACATGAGTATAACAAAGGTTATAACTGTTCATAAAACAATTGTATTTTATTTTATTTTTTATTGATATTTAGAGAGAGAGGAAGGGAGAGGGAGAGAGATGGAAACATCAAAGAGAGAGAACACTGATTGGCCGCCTCCTCCATGGCCCCCGCTGGGTATCGGGCCCACAACCTGGGCCTGTGTCCTGACCGGGAATCGAACCGGTAACCTCTTGGTGCATGGGTCGGTGCTCAACCACTGAGCCACACCGGCTGGGCAGAACAATTGTATTTTATTTATTTTATTTATTTATTTTTTAATCCTCACCCGAGGACATTCTCCCATTTTTGTTCAGACAGAGTGGGAGGGAGAGAGAGGAAGACAGGGAGAGAGAAACATTGACGTGAAAGGGACACATCGAGTGGCTGCCTCCTGCACAACCCCAACTGGGGCCGGGGACAAACTGCAACCGAGGTATGTGCCCCCAGCGGGAACCGAACCCGGGTCTCTCTGGACTGTGGGCCGAGGCTCTAACTGCTGAACCAAACCGACCAGGGCAGAACAATTGTATTTTAAGCAAATTAGATAACTCAGAAAAAATGGACAATTCCTAGAAAGACAAACTAGTAAACCTGAGCCAAGAAGAAACAGAAAATCTGAATATAACCTAAAACAAGTAAAGGTTGAGTTATAAATAAATAAACAAACAAACCTTCTCAATAGAAAAGTCCAGAACAGGTGGCCTCGCTGGTGAAGTCTTCCCAAAACTTAAAGAATGAATACAAGACTTTCACAAACTCTTCAAAAATAGAAGAGGAGGAAACACATCCAAAACGTAAACACACAAGAAAAGAATGCTCTTGACCCATATTGCTTATGCGTGTAGACGCAAAAAGTACTCTGTGAAGTCCCAATCCAACTCCTGCAGCAAATGTGCAGGATAATTACTGTACATCTGGCGAGATTTGTCCCAGAAATGCAGGGGCGGTTCAGCACCTGCAAACCAAGCAATGGGATCCTGGCTCAAGGACGGACACACTCCCCCAAGAGGCAGAAAGAAACCCAGCAATGTGTCAAGAACAGTCCCTTTGACCGTGGTGCTGGGACATAGGATGTCCACCAGCAAAAGAATGAGGTTGGATCCCTACCTCACAACCTATACAAATAATGACTCAAAATGGTAAGAGCTAAACTAAAAAATGTTTAAAAGAAAACATATGTCTGCACCTTTCCAATCTTGGATTTGGCGATGGATTCTTAGCTAGGACCTCAAAAGCATGAATAACCAGAGAAAAGACGGGTAAACTGGACTTCATCAAAATCTAAAACTTTTATTCAAAAAAGGACCTCATTAAGAAAGTGAGAAAAGAACTCAGAACAGGAGAAACTGTCTGCGGGTCACATGACAAGGGTCTAGCATCCAGAACACATAAAGAGCTATAACAGGAAGGACAGAGGCTCCGAGTAGGACGTTTTCTAAAGCAGATACACCGATAGCCAATAAACACAGGAAGAGACACCCAACATCATTATCGTTAGCGAGATGCAAATTAAACCCACAATAAGATGCCACTTCACAGCCAACTTTTCCTTAAAAAAGTAAAAAAATAGAACTTTCCCTTAAAAAAATAAAAAATAGAATGTGCTGGCGAAGATGTGGAGAAACCGGAACCTTCACACACGGCTGGTGGGAATGTGAAACACTGTAAACGGGAGAGAGACGGGGACACCTCCAGGTGCCAGCGTCCACCGTTACCCATGGAGACACACTCTGTAGTACAGACACACCCTGTGTCCACATTGTCCATATACCTCGTGCCCAGTCCAGTCCTGAGGGAAACACTGCCCCCACCCCATGTACCCTAAGGGGTCTTGACCCTTGCCCTTCCCCCCAGATGGAGGTTGGGTGAGGAGCTCACGGTGAAGGTAGTGAAGACCCAGTCTCTGGGGAGGCCCTTGGTCTGCCTGAAGTTGTCGTTGATGTAGCGGTTGAGGTGCTCCATGCTCCACACTGTGTCCTCCTTCAGGAGCACATATAGGGGGCTCTTCTTCTGCATGAACTACGGGCAGGTGATGTGACCCCTGGAGACATCGCCCCAGAGCACCGAGAAGCCGTGCCTGCCCTCTGGACATCCTGCAGCAGCCCTGCTGCCAACCCTCCTCCACACCTTCTTCCATGGAGACCTCCTCAGCTTCCAAGTCCCCCTGATCCTCAGGGGATCCTGCCTACGCTCCTCCCAGCACGAACCTTCCACCAAGACCTCTGGCCCACAGGTTATCTCCACTGAGGTCCCCACAGAGACCCCCCGGCTCCTCCCCCTCCCCACACCTCATCCTCACTCAGAGGGAACCACTTCACCAGGATGCCCTGCAGTGGCTGAAGGTGCGAGGCAATGCCAACTGCAGGCAGGGGCAGCCCAGGCCACCTCCGGGGCTGGACCACCTCTGGGTCTGAGCCATGTCTGCAGCTGGGCTCTCCTCGATGTTCCTGAGCAGTGAGCTCATCCCAAAGCTGCAGGGAGGGTCCTCACCTGGTTGGTCAGGTGGCCACTGAGGTCTTCGGAACAGGGGTCGTACAGGTTGAGGGTGAGGCGAGCGTAGCCGTGGCCAAAGAAGATCATGTACGGCATGGTGCAGGCGATGAGCAGGTAGGAACGCACGTCAAACTTCTTCCCCTCCAGCAGCAGAGGATTGCTGATGTACCTGGGTGGGCGCAGGAGGGCTGAGCACACCGCCAGCCTGGCCTGTGTGTGTCCCTTTGCCCCGACCCAGCCTGGACCAGTTCCTCAGTACCCCCACCACCTGCGGACTCCCTCCCCTGGCCGAGTGCATGTCGGTTGGGGGCACATTTCTGAGCCTGAACAGTACAGAGGATCCCTGGGTCTCAGCCCGTTGGAGGCCGAGGTGCTCAGGCTGCAGCTCTCACTGGGCGCCTGGCGGGTGTAAGCAGATGAGGCCCCGGGCAGGGAGGACTGCCTGGAGGAGGGGGGGGGATGCTGACATTGGGCCTAGAAGTGAGTGGTTCTGGAGAGGCAGGGAGGGAGCTGGAGGACCGAAGACCCAGAGCCTGGGATGGCCGTTGGAGAGGAGGGTGACCGACAGCCCCTGGGACAGGACTGTGGTTTACAAAGGGCAGATGAGGAGATCCAGAGAGACCTTTCTGAGATGACCGTGCCTCCCAGCATGAGACTAGGGTATGGACCCTGTCCAGAGGCAGAGGGGTGGAAGGAGGGACTGGCTGCAGTCAGCTCTGGCTGCAGGCCTGAAGGTTGCGGCTGCCTGGCTGGGCTTCCTGCAGGACAGAGGGGCAGTGCCCAGGCAGGGGAAAGACTGACCAGTCCTTCCCTGCCCCGCCCCTGCGTCCAGGAGCCTCTGTCCAACCGCGGGTGACCCCTCCACCTCTGCAAGCTACTCAGCGGCCCGGCTGGGGACACCGCAGCCTCCCACGGCCAAGAGTCCTCGTGGGCCCGAGACCCCTCACAGGCAGGAGCCCAGGGCCAGCCTCACACCCCCGACGCCCCTCGTGGTGTGCACGCCCAACACCTCTGCACAACCCGGGCCTGGGGTGCCCGGAAAGGCATCCTGCGGTAGACGGGGTCGTCCTGGATGCTCTGGGTCTTGGCCTGGAGCGCGGTGACCTCCTCCTGGCTCCTGAGCAGGAAGATGCCTTTGCCCTGGTTGGAGGCGGTGGGCTTGCAGATCCACGTCTGGGTTTCTGCGGGGAGAGCCGCCGAGTCGCCCGGCCCCGCCCTGCCCCGCCCCAGACACGCCCCGCCCCGCCCACCCGGACGGCTGCCGCCTCCCGCCCACAACACCCCGCGGGCCGACCACGTGCAGCTCCCCCAGCCTCCCGGCCACGCCCGCCCCTACCTGGACCGCGCCCCACCTGGACCTCCCCTGGGCCCTGCGCCCTGGGCCCGCGTCCAGGGGCCTCTCACCATCAAAGAGGGTGAAGAATGCTTCTCTCTCATCCTTGATGTCCAGACGGTAAGTCTCTGGGAAAAAATCTTCCATTTTCAGGATCCTGGGGAGCAGCGAGGGGGTGCGGATAGGGAGAGCTTGGCAGGCCAGTCTAGGGGTCTGGCCTGGGGGCGAGCTGCAGGGAGCATGGCCCCTGGGAAGCTGGGTTGGGCTCCAGCACCCCGGTGTCCAGCACCCCACCCCCAACCCTGGCTGTTCCCTTGCCAGAGCCCTCCTGCGTGGCCCCTTGCACACCTGCACCTCTACCGGCTGCCTCACCTACACCTGGCCCCTCCCACTTCCCCGGCCCTTTCTCCCAGCTGCTCTGCCACCTGCGTGGCTCAGGCACCTGGGAGAGGTCAGGTCAGAGCTGGGTCCCCAGGCAGGGACAGTGCCCAGCATGCACTGAGCACAGATCCCTGAGTGCTCCGAGCGGGTCCAGACCTGGTCTGCTGGCCTGGGGTGGCCTTGAACCTGTCCTCTACCACTAGGCCACCCTTCAGTGTGGGCAGCGTGGCCCCACCCAGCTGGCTGGAAGCTTCACCTCTGTGGCCCAGGCCTCGTGGGCATCCATGTAAGCTGCTCGAGGGAGGGTGCTGGGCCCTTACCAAGTCTGTACCCCAGGGGGACACGGGGCCTGGCTAAGTGTGCACTCAGTGGTGTGTGGAGGATGGATAGGTGGGCCTGGCGAGGTGGGGGAAGGGGGGTGTTGAAGTAGGCAGGTGGGTGTGTGGCTGGGTGGTGGCTGGGTGGTGGATTTGGGATGGAAGTAGGTGGATAACAGGCGCCTGCTTACCCACAGGTGTGTGCTGATGTGAAGGTGGTGTCGTGGTGACCAGGTGGGGTGGGCTGCCTGCCTGGTGGAAGGTGGACAGTGGCCAGGTGGTTGGGCAGCAATGAGCGGATGAATGAGTGGACAGGCAGACAGGTAAACACGGCTGTGGTGGGTGACGGCGTGGGAGGTGTGGGGTGGGCACCGGGGGGATGGCATGGGCCCGGTGGGTAAGCAATGACTAAGTGAGGGATGCCAGTGGCAGGTGTTGTGCGAGGACTCGGGGGGGCCGTGGGGGCTGGAACGGGTGGCAAGTGCTTGGGGTGCAGACATTGACGAGTGCGTGGTGGAAAGGTGTGTGGGTGGATGGGTGTGAATGGGTGGACAGAATGCAGGGTGGTCAGGACCAGCAGTGGACTGATGGTCAGATGGGTGGGTGTGCAGCTAAGTGGAGGAGGGACGGACGGGGGGTGGGATGTGCTGGCAGGGTGGACGAGTGCAGGAGGGGTTGAGGTGAGTGGACGGGTGCCCACGGAAGGTGGGTGGGCCAGGGTGGACGTACTTGGCTTGGGCACCGGACGATGTTTTGCTGATCTTGCTGAGGACCCGGGAGTACTCCCTGAGGGCGCTGAGAAGCCCAATCTTGGTGGTGAGCAGTTTGTTGTTGGGGAGCTGGAACAGCAGCTGCTCACCTGGCAGGACAAGGCCCCGGGCAGCACCAGGTGACCACGAGGGGCTCCCAGGGCGGGGCTGGAGCCCTTCTGCAGCCGGCTGCCCCGAACCCCGCCCCTCTCGGCTACCTTCCCGGAAGCTGACGTAGCTGTCTCGACACTTGACCTCACACCACTTGAGCTTGTAGTCTTCCCGCCGGCTGTCCTGGATGCGCTGCCAACCCTTGCTCTTGCAGTAGGAGTTGATTCTGTGGGGCAGAGGGGCAGTCGTGACCCTGGGCCTCAGAACCGGGGGGGGGGGGGCACACCAGGGGAGGGCACAGGGGAACTCCGTCGGTAGAGCTGAGGCTGCTCCAGGCCAGGCCTGAGGCCCCCACTCACATTGAGGCCCCGTTGGTGCCTCCGATGTAGAAGAAGGGGCCGCACCCTGAGCTGGGAGGCTGCTTCTGCCCCCCCAGCAGGTGCCTCTCCAGGAGGGCCGCCCGGGGCTGGGCAGCCACAGCATCCTCCAGAGGGTCTGTGGACAGGTGGTGGTCAGAGGCTCCGGCCTGGCGGGAGGCTTTCCCGTCTCCTGTCCCCTGCCTGAGCCCACCTGCATCCTGGTCCCCCTGGCTCAGCTGACTCAGGAGCCCGTCCACGTGGCTGCTCCCCATTGGTCTCTCATGGGCCCAGCCTGTGAATGGGGTGGTGCCCACTCAGCATCTGGCCCAAGTCCAGTCCCAGGTAGGCTCCAGACCAGCTGACCCCATCCTACCCATATCTCACAGCCCCTAGGCAGCCCCCCAGCCCATCTGGGCACATCTCATCCCAGGTGCAGGCCAGTGGGCCTGGGCCGACCACACCGGAGAGAGGTGGTCACTTGCAGCCGGCAGGGTCCCGCCTCACCAACAGGGCAGAGCTCGGTTCAGGTGAGGGGCGAGGGTGTGAGGCTGCACCTGGGGGCGACATGGCACAGGGACATCCCAGGAGGGCGGGGTCACAATGTGCATCATGATGTCATGGGTGACCCAGAGGCAGAGGTGGTGGGCTGCCCTGCCCTGGGTGCTGGGGTCGGCAGAGAACCTGCCAGACTGTGGGGAGGAGGCGTTTCCCCTCCTGTGCCTGGTTAGACCCTGGCTGTGCTGGCCCCTGCATGCTGTGGGTAGTCCCCTGGTTAGAACACTGTCCCTGGACTGGGGTGCAGGCCCCAGGGGGGCCATCCCAGGCTGCATTCACCTGATGCCTGGGCGCAGCTCCGCCAGACCCCTTTGATCCTTGACCGCTTGCCTCTCTTGGTGCCGACCTGGGTCTGGGAGGACAGTCCCCGGCAGTGGATGAAGACGGTGTGGCTGCAGGCCGCAGGTGTGGGGACACAGAGGCAGGGGCACCCCTGGGAAGATGCTGCCCCCACCCCTCTTCGGGACCTTCTCAAAGCCCTGGGTCCTAGCTGCTCTATCTGGCCTGGGGTCAGGCCCACCCTGCGCGGGGAGGGGCACTTCCTGGGGCTGTGGACTTGGGTTTCTGCTTGTGGCTGGCTCTTGTCTCCATAGCAACTGTGGGACCTGGTACCCCTCAGGGGCAGGGCGGTCTCTGCATTCCGACTGTCCTGGGCGAGGCCTCCCTGGTAGGGACTGTCTGTCTGGACTCCGTGCCGCCTATAAGGAGGGTTGAGGCCGGTGTCGCAGGTGGGCGGCGCTGGCGTTGCCCTGGGGCAGTGCTGGGAGGGGCAAGTGAGAAGCTAACTTGAGGATAAACTTTGGAAAGGGTTTACCTGGTCCGGTGTAGTGACCGGCAGGAAGCAGAGCAGCGGTGTGATGAACGGAAGGCCCTCGTGAACCTGAACGGAACGTCCAAGAAAACGAGAAGAGGTCAGTGCCCGCCGTGCACCGACAAGGGGTGCTCGGGAGGTGCTCACACCGCCTGGCTAGCTGGTGCCTCCCGGGGAGGGGCAGGCTGTCCTGGGGATGGGTTCCCACAGACGGCAGGAGGCTGCCCTCCTGAGCATGGGTTCTGAGAGACAGACCTGGCCCTGGGTGGAGGAGCTTGTCCCGAGGAGCCCACACCTCCAGGAGGTGCACCCTTCTTGGCCCGGCCCTGGGGTTCGTGCCCCTCGCGCCGTGGACCCTGAGGCATGGACTCTGCAGAGGGGTGGCACCCTTCCCCTGCCCTTTCCTGTCTCGTCTCTTTCTGCTCCTGGGCAGAATCCCCAGAGGACCCACAGTGTCCTTGGTGGCCAGGGTGGGGCACAGGAAGGAGGCCCCAGTCCTCACACCCAGCCAGGACCCCTGCTGCTGGCCCGCCTGTCTCTCTTTCCTGCCTACAAGCTGCTGTGAGCCCCTGCCCGGGAAACAGTGGTGGCCTGGCAACTGTTTCCCAGCAACCTCAACCCAGGGCCAGAGGTGAGCAGGTGGAGAGGGAGGGGCAGGGGCCAGGCGTCCGGGGGAGCTGGCCTCTCCATTCTCTCCGGAGTCACCCCTGAGCCTTTTAAGACCTCAAATCCACACCCAGACCCCAGAACGTTTTTTGTTTACCAGGCTTCATTGCCATATCACACCTCCCTCACCACAGCCCCTGCACTTGGGGGACACCCCTCTCCAAGTTAAGTGGGGGCTCAGCAAGACCGTGCCACCCTAAGGGTGGGGTGCTCCTGCCTGGGGCTGTGCCCCCACCGTCCACAGCCTTGCACGGGTCAGGAGTGTCTCTGCTTCCAATGCCTGTGCGTATTGTGTGCACCTTCTCAGCCCCAGGACCTGCAGATGTGACCTGACTTGGGCAAAGGGTCTTTGCAGATTAAGTTAAGGATCATGGGGTGAGGTCCTCCTGGGTTCTCTGGGGGACCCTAAATCCAGTGACCAGCGTCCTGAGAGGGAGGCAGACAGATGAGGAGACACAGGGGAGAAGCGTGTGCAGAGGGGCAGAGGCTGGAGGGATGTGGCCACAAGCCCAGGGACTCCCAGAGCCCCCGAGGCCGGGAGAGGCAGGAAGGACCCTTCCCTAGAGCCTGCGGAGGGAGCTCCCCACCCCTCCTCCGTTTCTGACTCTGGCCTCTGAGCTGTGGGAGGACGCACTTCCGTCGTCCACCCCGCCCAGTCTGTGGCCGTTTGCTGTGGCGGCCTAGAACACACACACACCACGCCCGCTGGCGTGGCTCAGTGGATTGAGCGTTGTCCAATGGACTGCGATCCTGGTCAGGGCACATGCCCAGGTCATGGGCTCGATCCCCAGTAGGGGGCGTGCAGGAGGCAGCCGATCGTTGTGTCTCTCTCACATCAATGTTTCTATCTCTCTGTCCCTTCCTCTTTCTAAAAAATGAATAAAAAAACATAGTTTAAAAAGAAAGGCACACACACCCCTTAAACCTCTCCTCACTTTGAAGGGTCCTGGGCTTCACCCTCATTATAGGGAGGCCTCTGTGACTGCAGAGGCAGCTGCACCCACCAGCTGCATGCCTGCCTGGGCTGGGTACGCCGGCCTTCAGGGGTCAGTCCTGCTGGACGGTGGTCTGAGACCTCTGCCCTGCAGGGGGTGAGCTCTGGCCAAGCCCTTCACTGGGTAGTTGGGGCATCCAGACCTCAGCAGCTGGGGGTTCCCAGCTTGGGGCTTCTTCAGGGGTGCAGTGTGGCCCCTGGTCACCTTTAGGCTGACCTCTGGAGCCTGAGCTCCTTGCCCATTTCTCGGGGCGAGACCCTTGGAGGCTCCCAGGCTCCTGGGCCAGCCCACCACCTTGGCCCCCCCGGTTCCTCATGGGCTCCGGGGACATCAAGAGCTCAAGCTGGAACACAGCCTCATAACCCGGAAGAGCCCTTTGGCGTGGTGCCCTCACTGCGCAGCGGGGGGCCTCCGGGCCGTGTGTGCCGGAGGTAGGGGCTATGGAGCCAGGGAAAGGCCCACTGTGCTGGGTCGGGCCAGGCCTCCTGGACACGGGCAGAAGTCCTTGCTGGTACCAGGCAGCCTCTGGCCTCTGCTCGGCTCCTGCCGGTGTCTACATGGCCCCCCTGGTCCCCTTGCTGTGCAGACTGTTCAGGGAGCGAGGAGGGAATGGGGGAGGGCAGGGACCTCCCCCAGGAGCCCCAGGGGCCTCTATCCCATTCCAGAGGCAGAGCTGGGCGGATGCAGGGTCTGGGGCTGTGTTCTCAACGGGTCCTTGGTCAGGACCCCGGGATCTGCTGAGAGCTCTCTGGGGAAGGAAGGGGCTTTGGGGGGACAGCTATGATGCTGATGGTGCGGTCAGCGTCAGAGTTTGTTTTGGGGGACAGCTTTAGACAGGACATTGCAGTGAGTGCAGTGAGGGGGGCAGGGTAGGGCTAACGTCTGGGGTGGGGTGGGCGTGAGGGGGCTCTGTGGCACTAGGAAAGCGTGCCCCCTGATTGTCCATGCCCCAGAGACAGGTCATAGGGACCCCCTGCCTGCCCCCCCCCCCAGCTTCTTGCTCTAGGCTGAGGGGGTTTCCACTCCTGGCACCTTCCAGCATCCGACACTGCTTGGGATTGGGGTCAGCCCTGGTTTCGGGGGCACTGCCTGCCGTTGGCACCCCTCCCCACCATGGCTGGGGGTTTGGGCGCTGGAGTTGCTTCTGTCTTGTCCTCTGAGGTCCCCTGCCTGATGCAGGTTGGGAGGGTATGAAGGATGAGGTCGCCGCCCTGGAGAGGGTTCCCGGCTGGGTGGCAGGGTGGGGCTGCCTGCACCCCCATCTCTTCTGGCCGAGGACAGGGCCCAAGCAGGGCCCACGGGAGACCCAGTGTGCCCTGTGCCCGGGGCAGACATGAGGCCCAGGTGTGGGCACGTGCTCACCCCCTGGTCAGAGCCACTGTGGACCTCAACTTCCACCGGCCTCCGCGAGGGGCCCCTCCTCCGGCGACCGGGCCGTGGATGGGCGGCTTTACCAGACAGTATTAGACAGAAGGACCCAGGTCTAACCGTGTCTGGTAAGACACCCATCACAGGCTGCCTGTCCTGCGGCGTTCAGCTGGGTGGCAAGACCCCGGTCTCCCCTGAGTCTGCAGAGCGGCTCCCCGGCGCCTGTGGCCCGGTGTCTGGCTGGAGCCTCCCAGGACCGGCTTGCCCCCGGGCTGCTCCGAGGAGGGCCTCCCACAGACCCCTTCCCGGCACAAAGCCCCCCAGGTGTGTGCGCATGTATGTGTGTGCGTGTGCATGTGCGCCTGTGTGTGTGCATACGTCAGTGTGTGTGTGTGTGTGTGTGTGTGTGTGTGTGTGTGTGCAGATGGGGCATCTGGTTACCCTGCACTTGACCCTGAGTCAGTGCTCAGTTAATGAGTAACCGGAGGCCAGGGGCAGACCCTCCTCCCCTGAGAGACCAGCTGGGGCCCGAGGCAGGGTGGGGTTCCCGGGCCAGAGGGCTGCCTCTGTGCACGTCAGCCAGGCAGGTCTGGGGGCCCAGCCCTGGCTTCAGATCAAAAAGAAAACCCAGGGCTTCTGGCCTTCGAGGTCAGACTGTTCCCATTCTTGCCCATGACGCTGTGGGGGGGAGAGGGGGATGGTCCCCGTCGGGAAATAGCACGGACTGCCCGCTGCCCTTAGCCTGCAGGCCGGGGCAGGGCACCTGGACGCCCCTGTCCTTCCTCTGACCAGGTGGCCTGCGGAGCATGTTCCCGACAGAGTAAAGGGCTGTGAGGGGGGCCCCTCAGGAGGCCCAGCTCCCGATGAGGAGGGTGGCTGGGGCTCCCTGGGCAGCCACAGTGGACGTGGGACCTGCATGGTGGCGGGAGGGCGGGCTGCCTGTTCTGGACCAGCCCAGGGTGGCTGACGGGCTGGCTTTTCTGTGGAAGTCCTCGGACTGCAGCGGCAGATCCGTCACGGGGTGTGCGCCAGGTCCCCAGACGAGGCTGGTGAGGGCAGGGCCCCGGCCCCGTGGTCTCTCCTGGGGGTCAGGTCACCGTGGGCCTGGCTGAGACAGGTTGTCGCCCGAGCCCAGCTGGCCCCGGGCCTGAGCCCAGCTCTGCAGTCAGGGACTCAGGACAGCGCGTCCTCGGGCCGCTTCCGGGCAGTGCGCGGCGGGTCACCTTTGAACATCGTTACCAGACAGTGTTAGAGCCGAGCCGAGAAGTCCAGCACTGTCCGGTAAGATGCCCACAGAGGCCCAGGTGTGCCTCGGCCCGAGGACACGGGAGGGACGCACAGTGCCGCCCCCAGGCAGGAGGACCGTGGTGGGAGCTGCTTCCTCCACAGTTGGGGTGTGGGCCTGGGCCCCGGGCTGGAGGCGCAGCTGGTCTGCCAGGAGGACCCCACCCTGGGCCCTGGCCGGCTGCCCACCCGGCTGCCCTTCACCCTCAGAGTTTCGCGTCCGTCCTGCTTGGGCCTGATGGGTAGGACCCAGAACCTGAACCCTCTAATCCTGGGTCACCGTCCTAGGGGGCTCAGCACGGCTGCTGGAAGCCTTTCCTTCTGTGGGGCTGGGAAGGGGCTCAGACCCACCAGGGCCGGGGGGACAGGCCTGCCCGAGGACAACGCTTGCCCCGTAGCCCCACCAGAAGCCACTGGGCAGGGCGAGGTGGGGGCTGTGCTGCGGACACGGGGCTTGGGGGGAGAGGGTCTGGCGTGGGCGGGCGGCCCCGTCGCTGTGCGCAGGGCCCCGCCGTCATCATTACCAGGCAGTATTAGAGACCTGACACCATCCAATGCTGCCCAGTAAGATGGCGACGGCCACCCCGTTGGGTCTGGGGGCCGCCCGGGTTGGGTCAAGAGGGGACTCAAAGTGGGGCACCCAGCCGCCTGAGGTCGACTGTGTTCTCTTAGGACACTAAGGTGGGGAAGAGCTCATGGGGGGCCCGTGTGCCCGAGGCCCAGCGCCCCGCTGGCCCCATCTGTGGACTGGGCTGCTGCATTCGGAAGCCCCTGGGGACAGGACCATAGGGCGACCTCCCTGCCCGGCCAGCCCCTCCCGACCCAGCAGGGCCCCCGGCTCTGGACGTGGGGTAGGCTCCTGAGGGGGCGCAGGGTGTCCTGCTCACAGGAGGCTGGCAGCCCCAGGGGTCAGGGCAGAGCGGTGCCCTCTCTTTGGGTGGCCCCAGAGAAAGGCATGGACATCAGGCTCAGGCCCTCCGGGTCCCAGGTGAGCATGATGGTGTCTGAGCTGACGGGGCTGGACAATGGGCCTCTGTCCCCAGACGCCCCAGCAGCTGTCTGCAGCCCAGCCCCTCCTGTTCTTGTCAAGGGTGAGGAAGGGGATCAGGGCGAGGATGGAGGGGGCCGCGGCTCTCAGACAGGACAGCCCCTGGGACCTCCGCCCCCACCCACTGAGCAGGGCAGGTGTCCCTCGGGGCCCCCACCTTGTGCAGCACCCTCTCTCACCGGTGAGGTCACAGCTGGGCTGTCTGCCTGCTCCGGGGCCCTGGGGTTCTGGCCACCGTTGGCCGTGAAGTCCGAGGCTGAGATGGCTCGGGCCCTGCAGGAGGGGTGAGGGCCCTGCTCAGTCTGTGTCTGGCAGTCCCCTGGGCTGTGTGCTCCCTGGTCTGGGGTTGAGCCCAGAGCAGGTGGAGCACCAGCTCCCAACACAGAATGCGGGACAACAGTCCCCAGCTGCCAGCCTCTAGTGTAACCCCCCAGGGCGGGTGTTCAGAGTGAGGGGGTCGCGGAATGGGAGTGTCCGCAGACCCCACCATGCTCAGGTCACCTGGGCCCCCTGCAGAGAGACCCTGACACCCTGCCCTGGAAGATTGAGGCGTCCCTCCTCCCTCCTGTCCCTTCTCTGTCCCCTGCACAGGTGATGGCTGGGCCTGGAGAGCTGGTCAGAGCAGCTTCTCAAGTTTTCCGGCACCTTCCACCCACAGAGGCTGCAAGGAGGAGGTGGGGGCCCTGTCCTGCCCCAGGCTGCTGGGCTGACCACAACAAAGGCTGCGTCCACCCCGCCCCTGGCCTCAGCCCAGTGCACCTGGTTCTCCAGCTCCGTCCTCGGGCAGGGCCGCCATTTCTCAGAGGACCCGATCCTCACAATGGGGCAGGTGGGGTGCCCCCCTCCTGCCCTGTGTGCCCACCCCCACTGCTGGTCTCTCCTGGCGGGACACCTGGCCGGGCAAGGTCTGTCCCACAGACCCCGTAAATCAGTGTGCTCCGGGGGTACAATGCCACTGTTTCCTGGGCTGAGTTTCAGCTCGGCTCCTGCTGACAGGCCCCGTGTGGGTGCTGAGTGGGGGGGCAGGCGGGTGCCCAGCGTCCCTCCGTTGTCGCCCCCCAGTCACAGGCCAGCTTCCCACCCTGTGGAGACCGGTGTCCCCAGAACCTTTGGACACTCGGGCCTAAGCTCCCTCAGGGAGCACCTGGGGCCCGAGAGAACCCGCAGGCCCGACGCCGGCCCTGCCACAAGCCAGGCAGACGGGCACCCCACTGTCTGCTGCCCGCTCCTCCTCAGCCATTACGTTCTGAGGAGGGGAGGTGCACCCCAGACAGACAAGGGCCAGGCCGGGCGGGGGCCTCAGAAAGCTTTCTGCTGACTTCAAGACAGCCCCACCCTCGCCCTCCACTGCCTGTGACCCCGGCAAACACCGGGCCTGGCTGGGCCTCGGCGCAGCTGGGTGTGCAGGCAAGGGCTGCGGTCTGACCGGCTGAAATGAAAAATGAAAACGAAGGTCCCCTGTGTCCGGGTGCCCAGGTGCGGCCGCCCTGACTGGCTGCTGGCAGGGAGTGAAGCTAGCGTCCGGGTGCTGCCCGCCGGTCTGGTGAATCATCACCATGACGACCGGACTCAGCGTGGGAGCCTGGAGGAAGGAGCCCTCGAAGAGCAAACACCCCAGCCGAGGGCACCGGCCTGCGGGCCCTGGGCCGGCGGGGAACACGATCCTGGAGTGAAAAACTCGCTCTCTGCTGGTTAACCTGCCCGACGGGCCTTAATCAATGGTGAGGCCCACGGAGAACAAAGCGCTGAAACCCAACCCCGTGTGGGGAGAGGCGGGGGCGTCCTCACCGGGGCCTGTCTCCAGCCTCCGAGGCCGAAGACGCCGCCATTTCTCTCCCAGCTCCGCCTCGGCCTCCGGGGCGCCCCATGTGCCCCGCCAGCCTGCAGACCTGCTCCTGGGGTCGTGGCTTCCGCGGACCGTTCACCACTTAAGTTCACCCAGAACATTCCTACCAAGTGATTTTGCAAATAAGGTATTTGCAAACGACCCAAATGCCTGGAACGGACAGCAGACCGCGTCCGCGTCTCATGTGCTTTGCGTTTCCATAAATGCAAAACGGATCTCCCTAATTCAACATCCTGCCAGCCACTTTCGCTGCTCAGCTCTGCGTCTGGGTTCCTGGGGAAGGCACAGCAAAACCATCCTCTGTCCAGGTGCCCGGCCTAAAGGGGCTACAGTGCTCCCAGCGGACTGGTTAACAGCATATACGTATCCCTAAAAGTCTGTCCGAGGACAGTGAGCTCTGCCTTATTCCTCAGAGGTCGCCCGCGTCCCAGGGGCGAGCGTCCCCACGCCCGATACCTGCCTCCGGAACGGCAGATGTCCCAGGACCGGGCACTCCTGCAGCCACTGCCATTTTGCATTTCAGTTAAGAATCTGTGGAACAGACTTTGGTCCTGACCCCGAGTAACCGCGTCGGCCAAGGGCCAGCCCACTCCTTCTCCAAGTTGGTTCCGGCTTTGTGGGCGCCTCCGAGGAGGGCAGGTGAGAAGGAGCCACAATCCGGGCCAAACTGGCTCTGGCCCGAGCTCTGACCGTCCTGTGTGGCCTTCGGCAGAGCCGACTCCAGAGCCCAGCACCGGAGCCGGGCACCCGAGTCCTCCCCAACCTGCCTCTCGGGGAACAAGGTGCCTCTAGAACCAGCACCGCAGTGGCCCATTTGGGAAAGAGCTTTCCAGAAGGTGCTGTGTCCAGGCAGAAGGTGGGCACCCTCACGGCCATTGACCGCAGCTGTGGGGAAGACGCCCACCGCCCAGTGCCCAAGCTCAACCTGGCCCCAAAGACGGGCCAAAGATGGCTCCGCACCGGACACCCAGTGTGCCGGCCTGAGGGGCTCACCCGCTCCTCAGGGAAGGACCAGCCTCCCCGCAGTCCTGGCTGTGAGCTGGCCGGGCACATCGCCATGGTTGCCGCGTCCTGTCTGGTCAGCGGTGCAGGGAGCTCTCCCTGCAGCGCGGCCTCCCCAGGCTCCTCCGCCTCCCGCTTACCTGCCCCGACAGGTTCTGCTCCTGGAGGAGGAGGGCGGGAGGCCACTCCCTGCCCCCAGCCTGGCGGCTAGGCTGGCGTGTCCAGCACCGTCCTTGTGCCCGGGACCCACCAGGCCTCAGAATGGACACTGGAGAAGCGTGAGCACCAGTAACCCCAGGTGCCTGTCAGCCCAGGGCACAGGGTGGCTTCGGCCCAACCTGCCCCACCGGTCTCGTTGCAGGGGGCCCAGGAGGGTGGCCACCCCCTGGGCCAGACCAGCTCCCCGCCTCCCTCGGCCGAGGCTCCGCACAAAGGAGAAGCTTAAGTCCACACGCGCAGGTGGGCAGCGCGCCTGGTCTCCAGGACTCTGTGTGCCGGGAACAATGGAGGTGGTGGCTGGTCCCACGAAGGGCAGGGCAGGACAGGGAAGAGACGGCGTGGCCCCAGGCTCGCCTTACATGTAGGGCCTCACCCCGCCCCGTGCAGGTGCTTGCTCACGCCGACCAATCTCCGCTCCTGGCCGCCGACAGGTGTGTCCCCCGGGCTCCCATAGGCCGGCAGGGAGGCAGTTACGTGACGCGGGCGGCAGGGCGGGAGGCAGGCCCCGCACACATTCCTGCCCCCGCCTCACCCGCCTGGGCCCGAGTTGAACAAAAACCAGGGCAGAGAGCTGCCGCTGCAGCCGCCTTGGGGCCAGAGGTGCGGTGGGGTGGGGGAGGGGGTGGGGCTCCCCAGCCAGGCCCGAGCAGGCCTCACTGGACACGGACGGGGCCGAGGGGTCACCCCCTGCACCCGCTCTTCCCGGGGCAGTGCGCGGCGGGTCACCTCTGCGGCCGTTAACAAAGTGCGGAGCTGCCCCTGCCCCTCACTCCAGGCCCCAGCCGCGGTGGACACCTGTTCTGCGTGGGCCGCGGGCACCCCCTCCTTGGAGTGTCCCACAGGCCCGTGCTGGAGCCGGGCTGCGGGGTGGAGGCACCCTGACATGCCCCACTCAGAACCCCTGGGCTGAGGGCTCAAGGTCCTGTGGGGTTTAGAAGGGCCTGGGTGTCTGTGGCCACAGGGTGGGAGGCACCGAGCCCGTCCAGTGGGGGGGGGAAGCCCCCCAACCTGGCAGAAGGGTTCCTACTCAAACAACAAGCAGCCCAGTAATAAGCCCGACAAGCAGAGAGGTCCCCGAGGGCCCAACCACTTTCCATAACGAACCCCACGAACTCCACTCTGGCTCCGCTGGAAACTTAATGACAGGGGCCCCTCCCCCGACCGCAGGCTCCCGGTTCGCTCACCCCTGAATCCGGGCTTTGTGGGGCCTTCTTTCTGTCCAGGGACAGACCTGACCGGAGGGGTGAGCACCACCATGGAAGGTTTCTGGGGGCCACAACTCCGGGGGCTGCCTCCCCTTGGCCTCTGTACCTGCTGCAGGGCCCAGAGGACGGCTCAGCCCTCAGAGCCCCCAGGGGCCTGGATCACGGGGTCATGGCGGGAGGGTAGGACGTGCCCCTCCGGTAGACCCTCAGGGCAGGGTTCTGCGTCCACGGCCCCCTGGCCACCCCCAAGCTGTGTAGGACACACATTTGTCAGTACCCCCACCCACCCGGTACCCACTCAGGGTGTTTGCATGGGGGTGAGGTTGGGGTTCCCTGGCTGGCAGGCGCCTGTGCTGTGGGGAAGCCGAGGCCTTGCTCACTACCCCCAAACCTAGAGGTGTTTGCAGTTGGATGGGGTGGGGGGGGCTGTTCTCCGAGGACCCTGCTCAGGCTCATACCCCGACCTCTGCCCGTCTCGTCCCCTCGGGCACCAAGCGTCCTGGGGCGGCCGTGAGGACCTCCTGACTCAGCCCAGATGTGTTGGCTGCAGGCACAGACTGGCTTCAGAAGCTCCAGGGGTTCTGAGCGGCCAGAGGGGGCCATGGCCATGTCTGCTGAGCCTGAGTGCTGGGACCTGGGGCTGCAGGGGGGCGTCATGGAGATCAGTGCCCCCCGACCCATGGAGGGGGACGTCACAGAGATCAGGGCCCCCCCGACCCATGGAGGGGGACGTCACGGAGATCAGGGCCCCCCGACCCATGGAGGGGGACGTCACAGAGATCAGGGCCCCCCCTGACCCATGGAGGGGGACGGTCACAGAGATCAGTCCCCCCCTGACCCATGGAGGGGGACAGTCACAGAGATCAGGGACCCCCTGACCCATGGAGGGGGACAGTCACAGAGATCAGGGCCCCCCCGACCCATGGAGGGGGGACGGTCACAGAGATCAGGGCCCCCCCTGACCCATGGAGGGGGGACGGTCACAGAGATCAGTGCCCCCC